CCCGTCTCTCCCGTCCCTCCCTCCCTCTCTCCCTCCCGTCCCTCCCTCCGTCCCACCCGCCGTCTCCTGGCGACGCCCGCGTCGCGGAGCCGGAGCCGGAGCCGGAGCCGGAGCCGGGGCAGCGCTGCCCGCGCCGCCGCCATGAGCGCCCCTCAGCCCCGGTGAGTGCGGCGGGGCCGCGCTCCGCTCCGTGTCGGCCTTTCGGCTCTGCGGGAGCGGGGTCGGGGCCGCCAGCGGCGCCTCCCGCAGCCTGCGGGGGGCTGGGGGACAGAGGGGGGCTGCGGGGGCCCGACCTGCCCCGAGACACCCCGGGGAACCTGCCCGGCTGCGGGCGGGCGCCCGGGACCCCGAGGTCTCCCGTTCGGGCGAGGCGGGGTGATGGAGCCGCGGGGAACGGGGCTGCGGGTGCTTCCCTGGTTACCTGCCTTCGGACCTGCAGGCTGTGAGTTCAGAGAGCCCAGACTGCCCTGTGCTGATGTCACAGACGAAGAGTGAAGAACAGAGAATCTCTGCAGGTCTCTAGGGCAAAATTTGGCACATCCTGGGTTAGTGGGCAATGCTCTGAGTAAGGAAGCAGTGGTAGAACTCGCTCCTGGGCCACACAAGAAATCGGTAGCAGAACAATCCTTCGGGTCTCGGTTCTCGGTGTCTCGTTGTGAGGCTTAAGGCTTCCTCTGGGGGAGGGGGGGAATGGCAGACAGGTGCCAGGTAGAGCCTGTCATCCCCTGTGACTCTGCCAATTAATACCTGAAGCCTTGGTGCTCTCTCACATTGTTATTTGGTGATCGCTGATTTAATTGCACTGTGAAATATTAACTGCAAAGGTTTAGAAAACACATAGGATGCCTGCTGTGTCTTTGTCTTGATATTCTTCCAAATGAGTGAGAGTGGTCTTAAAACTTACCATGGTACACAACTCTGGCTCTGAGTGTAGTGCTTTTTGGGTAGCTGCCAGCTGAGAACAAATACACTGTTAATAATAGTGTCAATGATCATAGCATCATAGATTTCTAAATAACCTCAAATATAAAATTACTGACCTAAGAGTGACATGTTGTCACTGGCTGTGATGCCAGAGAAACAAACATGACACTCATCTTGAGAAGAGCTTCAGACGTACTCCAGGAATCTACAGATCAGTCAGTTTAGGTTCTGTACCAGGAAAATTGTCTGCTATTCTAATAAAACCCCAGCATTTTTAGAGAGAAGAATGAACAGGAAAAACAGGCAGAGAAAAAGGAGTCCCCTGAATACCCAGAAAAGGGATGTGACTGCTGTGACACACAGGCTGTATAGAGCTGTCTGAGGCTGGTGCTTTCCCTTTGCTGCGTTTTTTCCTAACGTGGATTTTATCATTTCTGCAATTCTCTGCAACCCGTTGCAGAGGTTTTAAAGGTGACATTTGTGTGTAGTTCTTACATAGTTGAATCTTGAACAAAACATCTCAGGCAAGAATTTTTATCCTTTAGTTGATGCCATAAGCAGACTAAATGGGACCAGTGGTTGCTTTGCTGGAGTGTTCCTGGCCATGCTGGCCAGCGTGGTGCAGCCAGACCCCGGTGGGCCCGCTTGCATTCTTGCCAGTGATTTAATGGGTTTTGGTTCAGGACCAACACATTTCCTTATTTCCTCTTATACCTTTTTGAACTTTGAATTTTATTCAACATTTTTGAGGGCCAGCCTGTTCGTAATTGAAATGAGGAAATATATGTTCTGAGACTCTGGTGAAACAGAAATTGCCACATCACTGTGTTCAGGTGGGAACTGCATTTTAACTAGTTATATGGTTCAGGATATCTTAGATGGAAGGAAGTGAATGAAAGGGAGCTGGATTGAGTTTCTCCTCTGCCTCAACATGCAGTTGCCAGATGATACCATAAATGAATACTTAGGAAAATTGGTGGAATCTGGTGGTTTCAAATGCAAACTCTGGATTAAAAAAGTAACACAGAACAGTTGCTATCATACCAGTGTTTAACCAACAGGCATAAAAGGGTAACCTACATTGTTTGTTCAAGGTTTAATTTATTGTTGGCAGCTACCTTTGAGGTTATTGTGAAACCCCTCATAAAATTCCTGTAAATCCATGATCTCTTTACTCTAAATAATCTGTCCTTTCCTTGAATATGCTTTTGTGTGTGGCAGATCAGCCTAGCGATGGACATATAACTGAATTATCCATCTGAAAGTGATGTAATAGAGGCACAGTGCATTTAAATCTACAGCCAAAGAAAACAAGAGAGATCAGTCTCTTAGGTAACTAAAGCACATCCTGCTCAGAGAGCCCAGAGGTCAGGCTGAACATGTACCTGAGTGTGTAAACTGTACAAATGTGAAAAGATTTAGAATATTAAAAACTGCATCCTAGTGTCACTGACTTCTCTATTTGCCCTGTTTTCCAGAGGGTTAAATAAGATACGGTTGTGCTAAGAACAGTTTAAAAATGTAACTGCTAGTTATGGATGCTTCAGTTTTTGTGTTCAGCTTTCACATCTGAGATTCAGTTTTTTGAAGCTCTGATCTTTGGTAACTATGATGATTGTAATGAGAACCTGGCACAGGTTGCCCAGAGAAGCTGTGGCTGCCCCTGGATCCCTGGAAGTGTGTGAGGTCAGGCTGGATGGGGCTTGGAGCAGCCTGAGATGGTGGAAGGTGTCCCTGCCACCAGCAGGGCCCCTGGCAGAGTGGCGGGGGAGCTGTGTCTGTGCAGCTGGAATCCAGCCCCAGGCACACCCCTGTCCTGCCCATGGTCAGGGTTTGTCACCCAGGAGCTGCTCTGGGAGCTGCTGCTGGAGGAGGCTGTCAGGGCTGGCCTCTCATGCCACGGTGGTGGCAGTGCTGGTCCACACTCAGCTCCTGGCCTCGGGTACAAGTCACGAGTTTCTGATAGGAATTTCCAGGAGGCCACAAGATACCACCTTTACACAATCTCATGGGCATTTACCTGACCAAATCCAGGATGATTTACTAAGGCAGCATTTTGTGTAGCAAACAATTGGGTAGCTCTGTTTAACTTAAACTGTAGTAATTTATTGGTCAAGGGGATTATAAACATCTCCATTTATTTTATTGCAGATTTCTTGCAACCTATAACAGTCTTACAGACAAACACCTAGTTGGATATTTCAGCAATGCCAGGATAAGACGACATCTTCAGAAAGCAGGACTGGTGAGACTGAAAAGTTTCCCTCCGTTCTACATTCAATTCAGAATGTTTTTATGCTTTATTTTCCATTTTTCCTTTTGCTTATTGGAGTTTCCCTCTGCAAAGTGTTTCAGTTTGCAAATATACAGCAAAAAAATATACAGCATCATATTGATTCACTCAGGGTTTTTTACACTGTGAAATGTAAGCATCTTTGACTTGTTTAAACAGCTTCAGTGTTATTTTTCAAAAGTGTTTAATGGAAAACTGAAGGATTTGGTAAAGGTGAATATGCTGAACATTTTGTTAAAAACACTGGTGTGTTAAAAACTCCTGGGTGTGACTCTCTTTTGCACAGGCAGGTGCAGGAGGGAGGCAAGTGTTTAATCCTTTCCATCCCTTTGGGCACTGGCCTGTGACGAGTAAGGCTGAGCCCTTGGTGATTAGAAATGTGGCTGCTGCTCCTTCCATTTGGCTGGTGGAGCTCATGGGTTCAAAGATAATACAGTGCTGGAAGGTGAGTTCCAGCACCATGGCAGGGGCAGAGGTGGAAAGTAACCAGGAGGAGAAAGTAATCTTCTGGGAAATTGCACTGTTTCAAAACATATTTAATTTCATCTTCTCCTTCTCAGTAACATTGTATTTATGTATGGCAGATCTCAAGGAGTGGCCGAATAATACCTGAGAAAGAATACCGTCTCAATGCCATGAGGAGGGATCACCAGAGAGATGTCCAGGAGTGCTTGGCTGATGCCATATTTCAGAAGGTCCTTGACATGCAGGTATGCCCTTACTGAGGATGTGTGAGCCTTCTCAGGTGTTTCCTCGCTGACAGCCGGGGGCTGCTAACTTGTACTGGACTGATTTCCTTATGTGCCCTCATGCTCCCCTGGAAGGCTCCTTTCTGCTGGGAAAAAGGACAGTTTTGATGTTCTCCACATGAAACCTGCACGGGCCTCTCGTCAAACCATGCTATTGTGAGAGCAGGCACTGTCCTGGCTTCCTTATCAGATTATGAGACAATATTTACAGGGCTAATTTGCTTTAGAAAATCCTGATAAAAACAAACCAGTTTGAACATGTTTATATATCTTGCCTGAGTACAAAATTTGGGCATGTTTCTGTGGGATATCAGGAATGGAGTTGGTCCCAACAACTTTACCAGTGCTCAGTTGTTCCCTTGGCTGTGTGAATATATGCAGGTGAAATGCAAATAGATTCAATCCACAGTAGTTTTATTACAGGGCTCAATAGGGGTAGTGGCCAGGGAGAAGGCATGGGACAAGCAGGACAGAAGCAAGAGTTCTTGCACACATTGACATCTCATAATGCCCAGAAATGTGATTTCTCTTTCTTTTATATTGGTAGCGTCATCATCAGCTGGAGACAAAAAGGAGTCTTGAATGTTCTGTGAGGAAAGAGAGGATGCAGCCAATCAAGGTGAGGCCTGAGCACTGCTGGGTGTTGATGTGACCCGGCAGTTTTGTCTGTGTTGAGGAATAACCCTGAGCCTGACCAGTGATTCACTGAGACAAGTGCTCTGTCTCTGACATGGAAAAGTACACAAAACAGGCAAGTAGAGGATGATCCTGTCCCAGTTACATCTCTTTTGTCCATTGTCCAGAAGTTCAGGAGCTTCCATTTATCCATTTAATTCCTTCTGAGTCTAGTTATTCTTCTGCAGTGTTCTTGGTTGGGTGGTTTAATCATGAATTGCATGAAATGGTACCTCCTTGCATTTCTGCATAGTAATAAATGTATCTGGTGTCTTATATGTCTGTTCCATGCTCCACTGTTCTCAGTATGACAAAAGTTATTAAATGTTCTCTTTTTTCATGGCATCTGTGGTTTTACATACGTTCTTCATATTCTTTCTCAGTTTTCCAAGCTGAAGGTCCTCAGTCTGAATTTTTCTTACCTGAGCCATTCCAGGCTTCTCATTACTGTTGCTGTTTTTTTACCTTTTCTCATTCTACTATTTCTGTTTTGAAATGGGGAACCATAACAGAATGAATAATTCAAGATACATTCTTCTCCCAGTAATTCTAGACCTCTGCTTTTGACTGCTGATGAGCACTGAGCTCACGTGTTTGGTTGTTTGCCTCTCCATAGGATTTGGGCAGAACTGGCATGTGAATAATGAAAGAGGTTTTAGGAGTCTTCATATAGGTGTCGTGTAGGTTGAACTTGATTCTGTAGTTAGAGTCATGGAAATCCCATAGAAGTCAGTGGTTCTTCTCCCAATGCAATCACCTGAATTCATACAGGAAAAGTCATCCTCATTTTGGCAGAAACACGCTCAGCATTTTATTTCTGTATTAGGAACTTGAATGCATTGAGAAGCCTTGAGAAGGTGGCTGCTTCATTGAGCAGCTGGTAAACATTGTCAGATCTGTTAAACTGTAAATAAATCGCTTATAAGGTAGTCATGGGGTAAAGAGAGGAGATTTTCCTGAAAGACACTGATCACTATGGAAATTGAAAACTTGTTGTTTACTAATGGAATGCATGTGGTAGGAAGTGACCCCATGGAAACAGAGATCCTGGCACCCTATCAAGGGCTTGGATAATTTTGGAACCTAAACCAGAACAGCTTCCTTCAGTTAGACACCTGCAGATACCTGAGAGCTGCTACCTGAGAGCTGATCTGTGTGTGCTGTGCTGCCATGCTGGGATGCAGGAGCCTGGCTGGAGCCAGTGGTGTAATTTAATTCTCACCTCATCTATTCAGTTAATTGATCTGAGTGGCTCATCTGAAAGGAGAAAGGCAGATGGCTGAGCAAGGGAGGGTGAGAGACAGAGCTGTCTGTTTCCAGTGGGGCAGCCATCCCAGCTTTGGGCTGATGAGAAGAGAAGATGGGGAGAGACTGCAGTCAGAGCAGGGAAGTGACAGGTGCACTTAAAAAAGAAAAGAAACCTTCTTCTTAAAAAAAAAGAGATCTTCAAACAAACCAAGAATTGTGAGATACACAGAAACAGACATGAATTGAATCTGGCAGATCAGCAGCTGGAGAGAGCTGCAGGAAAACAAATCAGAGGTGGGGACAAGTCTTTTTGCTTGTCCCTCACATTCTCCCATGATTTCCTTTCCTTCCTTAACCAGCTGTTCCATCTGGTCCAGGCCAGCTGATTGTCACAGGTGTCCAGTAAAAGAGACATAAAGTGACGGACATCACTGGTTTGGGATTCAGTGCCTCAGAGACATAAATTCCTTTTGTTTCAGGTGGAGGAATTCAGAGCATCACTGGAGAATGTCATCCGTGTGCACTGCCCACACCCACCGCTCACTCCGAGGAGCCACCACCGGCTCGGTGCCTTGGTGGCTGCAGAACGACCTGGTCGCTCACAGTGGGTGAGTTTCATCTTGGGCTGTCGTGGAAGCACAGACAGCTCAAAGTGTGCACATGGAACCTTAGTACAGAGCATTTATTGCCTGGGTCATTCTGGATTAGGACCTCATCCTTGATCACTTGAGGCTGATTTCCTGTTTGCCAGGTTGTGTTAAAGAGGAATCTCCAGAAGCTGGTGTTGCAGGAATGACACATCAGAACCTAGAAAAAACCCCAAAAACTTTGCTCTCTGATAATCTGCTTGTTGTAAAGCAGATTTAAAGCCCTGGAAATGGTAGGGTTCTTTTAGAAAACAAGAGTTGAAGGTATGAAATGAGACTGGAGCTCATTTCAGAGGGCTGTGGTTTAGGAACTCTGGCTCTTGCTCTTTGTTAACAGCAAAGAAGGAATGTTAACATACTCTTGAAATATAATGGTACTAAAAGCCTAAAGTCAAATGTCAAATATCTAGCTCAGTTTCAACCGGTTCTCTATATCAATAATGGTAATTGGTGCAGATTGAAGAGAAACTTTTGAGTCCTGAATGACCTTCTCTTCTTATAGAGGACACCTGGACTTGGAGTTGATTGTGGTGGTGGACATTGTCCTCATCAGCACCGAACCAAGAAGTGTGCCTCCTCTAAGGTGGTGAGTGAACCTCAGTTAAACAGTGCTGTTAGGCATTAATATTTTCACTTGGTATTCTGAAGGGTATATGAGGAAAACATGAAATAAACCAGTCAGAGAAAAAGCTGGATATTCAACAAGAATAGGTTGAATATGTTTTTGTTGTGCATTCTCTCTGGGTCCATGTGCTGAAGTCCGTAGCACACTGCTACAGTTTCTGTCAGTTCATTGTGTTTGCTCCAAGGCTGCATGGTGAAGAGACAGTAGCCAACCTTGTATTTACAGCCAAGAATTGCTTTGGATGGTCAGTTAGAGGTGCCTAAAAGGGTCTGGCTCTTTGGTGGCAGACTAGAAAATGCCTTGTCCTGTAGGTATCTGAAATCACCCTTCGCTTCCAGACATCTTCATCAGTGCTATTTTTTTTTTATTTTTCTTTTTGTGGTGCTGCTCTGCACTGGAAGCTGTACACTGAGATTTTCTCATTGTTTTCTTTCTCCTTTTGCAGAGTCCAGGAAATGCGCAGCAGCCCCCTCGCCTCCAGCCCCTTCACGGCTGGGCTGCAGCAGGGTCTGTACCAAAGCCTTCCAAACAGAAGTGCCATGCACATGATCAGCAGTTTGCCCGTGGGGTGAGGCTGTACTTCATTCCAAAAATAACATCTTTTTTAGGGACAGTTTCATAATATTTTTTAAGTACTGTAGTTCCCAGAACTGTATACGACAGGGACCATTCCTTTCAAATGGCATAAACTTTTATTTAAACTGTCCTTTTTAAATTTCCCTCTATTTTCAAGGCACTGTCTTACTGATCTAATGCCCAGTTCTCACAGTGAGGAAAAATGTGGTGACTTATCTTTTACAGTATAAAATCTCTCTGCTTACAAAATTTTCTCCCTCTCTGTAGATTTTCTCTTTTGTAGAGAGAGAGGCAGCACCTGGTTAACTCCAGGAGCTTCAGAATATTTTAACTTGCAAGTCCTACAAGTTTTCATCTTCATCTACAGCTACAAAGTAGCAAAAAATTTCTTTTTTTGGGTAATTCCTTATACTAAATCACACTAGTGGGCTTGGAGAATGAGAGTCAAACATGGTCTTGATATATTCACAGTTACTTTCAAGTGATATTTGGACTTGTCTTCTGTTCTAGAAAAACATATGTAATTGGTCTTGTGATATGCATTCCATGGGGTGAGAGGGATTGGAGTGTGATCTGCTACCACTGTCTGGCAGGCACTGTCAGTAGCTCCCCTCTGATCTGTATTTGCTCTGGATTGCGATGGCCATGATCCTTTCTCCAAGAATTTTCTGGTTGGTCCTGTTCATGTCTACTCAAATTCCAGGTGATTTAACAGTTTCTTTAGTGCTCACAACTGACAAAACAGCTCAATCAGATGTAAGTTCTGAGAACATGATGCAGCACCCAGAGCCACAGAATGCAGCGTTTCCAGAACTTGTTCTCTAGCGATGTCTTACTCTTAAGGGCCGTGGTCCATTTCATTCTGCAAGAGGACTAAATCTCTATTCAGATGAGGCAGCAGCATTTTGAAGCACACCTTGTAGAAGTGATGCCAAGTGATGTTTCTGCTGGACAATTGGCTGCTCTGGGGATGTGCATTCCAGCTGCGAGGGAGCAGCGGTGCTGCAGGGTTCTGTCTGAGATGAGACATCGGTGGAGCCAGGGCTTGGTGTGCAGTGCTGTCTGTATCTCTGAGGGTGACATTTCCAAGCAATATGAATGTTGCCTTGCAAATTAAAAGAAAAGGGTTTAGCACAGAAGTATTTTAATAAGCAGAATTTCAGGCCCCGAGTTAAGGAGCTGTTTCAGAAGGATGGATGTTGCTCCGTGTACCAAGGAGTCAGACCATGGCCAGTTCCATATTCTCCCAGCTGTTTTTGCAAAAGCTGTGTCACTTGGTTGAAATGTTTTTCCAGGGGGAGAGGAGTGAGTTAAGTCTTCTGAATTCAGTGGAGTACATGAGTGGTGTGTCACCGTGTCAGCTCCCGCTTATCCACTCCTGTGTGGTGCCGGTGCCGCCGCCCCGCCTGCGCAGAGGGCACAGACGTGTCCCTCCTCTCAGGAGTGGGCTGCCCATGTGCAGACGGTTTCATCCCACCACTGCCTTCAATGAACAAATTTTAATCAAGGTAAGTAGTCTCTGTCCATGTGCAGGTGCATTACATTCCTCATTGGTGTGTTTGCTGAATGCTGAAAGATGTGCAAACCTAGTTTGCATGAAGAAAATGTGTAACTATTAACATAAATAATTGCTATGCATGTCTCTGTAAACTAAAACATTTGGTGTTTTTCATCAGTTGGGGAGAAAAAAGGTGCTGAGCAACAACCTATAGCAACTGATATTGAAATCACTTCCACTTCAGTCAGTCTCTGGCACTAAGAATCTCAGGGATTTGTGAAATGCCTTGAGTGTATGAACACTGCATCAGTTACACTGTCTCCAGTGAGTTTTAACTCCTGGAAATAAAGTTGTAGGAACCCAGGACTGGGAGGGATGGTATGGGTCATTAAACCTGGTCCCTGCAATTTGGGGCTGCTCAATGCTTTGGGTTTTGAGTTGTAAATATGTCCCAGACCCTCTGCATGTTACAAAAACTCCAATTTAATCAGCTCAGTGCTTGTTATAAAAGCCTGAAAGTCTCAAGTGTGAGAGATTGGAACTTTGTTTTCACCTCTTGTTGGAACTCAAAGCTAAAGGCATTTCTGTGCATTTTCTGCTGCAGAATACTAGAGGGTACCCCAAGTCCCCGTTATGCAGCAATGCCTTGGTCACCATGATCTACCTGGGAAAGAGCAGAAATGTGTCCCTCTGTGAATACATGGATGAAATCAAAATCTTTCAGCAACACTGTGGAACAGAAAACATTTGTGTCTATAAAGGCGAGCTGTTCGAAGGAGGTAAGGATGGAGTCAGGGAGTTCGTATTAATTCTGACAGCATCACTTATTGCTAAAACTTTGCCCTGACATCAGAATGATTTCAGCTCAGCTTGGTCAAGATCTATGCATCCAGGGATGTTTATACCGTCTGCCTCTGCACTAAATCTGGATCTACTGTCCCATGATTGAAAGTGAGGTTAGAATTATTTTTGCAATGATGGTAGAAGAATTTAGAGAAGTGATTTAACAAAATTCTTGTGGCTTAGGTGAATTTTCTGTAGAGATATATGGTTAATAGAGCAGCTGTAGCAAAAAACTGTCCTTAGGAAGGGGACATCTGTGTTGCTAAAATACATCAGTGAATGTTGCTTGTTATTCCAGAAGGAAAAGTACATAGTAGGAGCCCAGTTCCCATCTCTTTTTATGTGAGTGCAATTCCATCACACCAGTAAAAGATGAATTGTGTTCTGGGAAGCTGGACACAGGAAATGGCTGGGAGGTTCTGGCCTTTGTCCTGCTGTAGCAGTGAGTGGCCAAACTTGTCCTAGCTGTCCCACCTTAGGATTCTGGGGCTGGCAAGAGCCAGGGCTGTGTGTGTGGAGAGTTTAACCAACAGTTGAACAGACCTGGGAGCCCCAGTGCCTGCCCACGGAGGGCTGGGTGCTGTGGTGATGCAGCTGAGATACAGCAGCTGCAAGAGGCTGAAATGTAATATTTTCCTTTGAACCCTTTCTTTCTGTGACTGCAGATACCTTCCAGTTCACCTCCAAGAGGCACCTGGGGTTCCCGTTCAGCCTCACCTGTTATCTCAACGGGCTGCAGGTTGACAGGCTGAGCTCTTGCTGTGAGTACAGATATCAGAGCCGTTCCCAGGTGCGAGCCAGGAGCGGCTACTTCAGGGTTCTCCACGTGGCAGGAGCACCTCCTTGCTACAGGTATGGAGAAAGTGCACTTCGCTCACAAGGACTTGGTTTTGAGAGTTTCTAACTTGTTTCTCTTCTTTCATGTCTCTGTCTCCACACAGCTGTGTTTGTCAGTGCTCCACGGAAGGTGCAGGGTGGGGGTCACTGTCAGGGTCTCACATCCAGGGGTACCAGCGCAGCCCCCTGGCTCCTCAGCCCGCCCGTGCTGTGCTGGTGTTGGAGCACGGGGCAGTGGCTCTGGGTGGGGCACAGGTGCCACCTGTGAAATAAATACCGAGCATGCTGCTCAGTTACCTGTGGTTTCCACAGGCCTTTCTTTGTGATAATTGATTTTTAAACAGCTCTGACTCTGAAGTGAGATTCTGTTGTGATACCCCTGGCTTCGTATAAGGCAGCACTGAATATTTGCCATGGTTCAGAAACCAAATCTGTGCAGAAAGGTCTTGGGCAAAAGTCAGTGCTGTGACCAACAGCTGTGATTCTGCCAAGAGGCTTTAATTTTCATAAAATCTTTCTTTTCTGCAATTGTTAATTCAGGCCATGCAAGTAAACTTAGGGACATGTGGATAATTCAAAATCTTTTATGTTCTTTTAATAAATAATTTTTAAAAGACCAGCAAGCAGTTGGAACAAGAGACTTTCCACAGAGGTGTGCTCTGTTCCTTCAGATAAGGACTGAATTTTAAGAAAAAAATGCCTATTTATTGTGCCATGGTTTTTGCTCCGGTCTAACAATGAACATGATTTATGCAAATGCATGTTCAAAGGAGTGAAAAGCACCTGAATTCAGAATGGGTATATTTGCTATAGATTGTAGGAAATGCCCAAATCTCACCTTATGGTGATTTCTAGAAGGATTTGAAGTGAATTTTCTGAATTTAATATAGTATCCAAAAATTGGATTAATTAATTCCTAAGTTACTCCCTCTCCTTCTGTCCCCCTTACTCTTAGTGATATCTCTCTTTTTCTGCCTCTTATCAATCCAGCCAACCTTGTCTGATGTCTAAAACCCATCTCTATTAACCTGATTTTCCCCATTAATGAATGCCCACTCTGGTTCCCAGTAAAAGTCCCAGTTGATTTTCCCTGGTGTGTCAGGGCTTTGGCTCACAGCAAGGTGATGCTGCAGTGTTTCTGTGCCATGCTGTAAGCCTTGTTCTGAGAGCTTTCTGCTGGCCAAGGTCCAGCATTTCTGAACAGCTCCTGGCTGTAAGAGAGAGAACATATCATTCCATTTTATACAAGAGGAGTAGTCTCAACAACTCGTTCAAAATGCTTTGTTTTCCATCTTTTTGAGTTTCTTTTAGGTAGGTACAGAACAGAGACAGAAAATTACTAACTTTCAATATTCTACTTTCCCCACAGTTCCTGGACCCAGTAGATAGGTTCAGAAACCCCCAGTCTTACCCACAAACCCTCAGTTATCACTACTGGCAGTTACAGCAGGATCTGGATCCAGAACACGTCAGAGCTTTTCTAACTTTCTTAGTGGTTCTGTCTCCACAGCCAATGCTTCATGCAGCTTAAATTAACAGGCACTTGTAATAATTTTGGTTCTGTTTGTATGTCAGTTGTTGCCTGTGAGTGTAGGCAGTGCTACTGTCCTTCAAGGAAGAGCTGTCTGTGTTAGGGGTGCTCTCAGAGATTTCAGGGTGCTTCTCCTTGTGAGTCATTGTGGCAGTGCAGAGGCAGATGGGTGCTTGGTTTCACTGCTGATAACAACAAGCTGAACTTACTGTGTCTGCTGCCTTCCATTGTTCAAGGGAAGAAAAATGTGATACTTCTGAATTTGTGTTGTTTTACAGGTGCATTCTTGCTATGGGTCTGGACAAAAAGCTGTTCCCTCCCAAGAGGAAGACTAGGTACCAGGATGGGAAGCATGTGTGTTGCTGGGGAAGTGCTGTGCACAGTGAGCCATGTGTCAGCAGCATTGGGCAGAAAAGTAAAGACTCAATGTCAATGTCAGTCATCACACGGGGTCGTGAAGCAAGCGTGGCAACTCTCGCAGAAGCACTGGAGACTGGAGAGGAGTCCAGCGAAGAAGAAATGGAAAACCAGTCTAGTCAGGAGAGTGAAGATAGTCAGGATGACACCAGTATAAATGGTATAGTATTCCCAAACATGAACAGGGGATGAGAAATGGGAGAGGAGGATTCTGGAGAAAGTATGGGATTGTGGATCTCCAGCTTTGACTGGCGCATGAGAAATGTGGGATGTCTGTACCTGGGCAAGAACTAGAGGGGCTCCTTTCAGCCATGCAACAGGATGAGGTGGTTTGCAAGTACCAAGAAAGTGAGCAAGGAGGAATGGTGAGGTAATGACACAGGTTCCCCAGAACAGCTGTGCCTCCCCCATCCCTGGAAGCATTCAAGTCCAAGTTAAATGGGGCTTGGATCAGCCTGGGATAGTGGAAGGTATACTTAGCTATGGAAGAGGCATTGAGCTCAGTCTCTGCCTTTACTTACTCCTTATCATAGTCTTCTTTAGAGGCAATCACGTTTATAGAGAGATTTTAATTCCTACTTCCTATTCCTATTTTTGCTTTCACAGTTCGGCAGTGTTACTGCTCATCTCACACTTGTTAGTCCCTCCGGATGTGTGTTTGGGATTAACGAAGCCTTTTTCCTTCAGGAGGAACTGCCCTTCTGACAGTTACCTAAGGAGACCTCACTGCCAACACTGCCATTGGAATCTCAATTGATTTTTAATACAGAAAAATAAATCTCCTTATTCCCTTAGTTCTCATTGTCTTGGTAATTGTTTGTTTGCATAACTGGTTCTGCATCAGGAACTCTTCATTTCTGTGCTTGGTGTTCTGTCACTTCAGTATGCTAAAAGCCTTGATGGAAGGGAAGGAGGGCAGCTGTAGGATCTGGGAAGTGAGGAATGATGGCCACGAGGGCCAGCTGGAGGGGCAGCAGGGGCAGCTCGCCTGCACGGTGCAGGTGCGTTCCCTGCGTGCGCGGGAGCCCGCGGCAGCGGGGCAGTGTCTGCATTTCAGGTGGGAACCACCAGCATCCCTGTGCTGCTGCTGGGATGTGCACACACAGCTTTGCTGGGAAGGGGAGTGTTCACCTGCAGAGGGTCTTCACCTGCAGAGCCAAGCAAAGTGCTGTGAGGGGCTGGGAGCTGGACCCGAGCATCCTTGTGCATCCCTTGCAGCTCAGCTCTCTCTGTGATCTATCAGATGTCACAGCTTGTCAGGCTAGAGCAGAAATCCAGAATGTGGAAATAAGGGTGGTAATTCTGTGCAGGCTGTGTTTGTACTGGGCTTTCCCCCGGGCCCTGGAGGAGCACGCTAGAGCAGTGTGATAACAGAGTGCCTCTGCAGTGCCCTTTGGCTGGAGTTCATTAAATTCATTGAGCTTGTAAGACACTTCTCTGCTATTTAGCCGTGCCAATACACATTTATCGTACTTTGCACTACAATATATCACCCTTCTCCAGCTTTCTCAATTGCTTGTATTTCTTTTTTTCATCACAACCAGTTTTTTCCCTGTAATAAGAGATTCTTACATTTATCTTACATTCTGAGTTTGCCCAGCTCTCAATTTTTCTGGTACTTTCCATGGCTGGTAATTTTGTTTCTTTTTGTTACAATGTATTCAACTTACTTGTAGTTTTGCTCAATTTTTGCTACTCTATGAAGAACACAATGCTTTTTTATGATAATATACTCTTACAGTTCCTATCTGTGGTCTTAGATGCTCTCATGGCTTTAAAAAGACTGAGCAAATTCAAGGGCAAAAGGAGATTAATGATGTTAACTTCGATCTGCTTAAAAAGAACTTTTGTAATTGTGAATTCTGTTTCCTGTCTCACAGTACAATTCTTCTATTTTAGAATATGATGAAGATTTTGAAGCAGATGAAGAAATTAATGAAGAGGGACAGACTGGTGATCAAATGAATGGAATGTCAGAGTCATCCTCAGATGATAAAAACCGCAATTTAGATTATGGGAAAGAGAGTGCAACCTCATCCCAGAAGGCACTGCAGGCCTCTGACAGTGAGAAAAATGAAAGTGATGGATATTCTGACGACAAGGACTCTGAAGATGATCAACAAGGTTAGTTTTGTTCATAACAAGGCTTGGAGAAGCTGAGCTGATGTATGTTTTACAGTTTGTGTCCAGTATGTATGTTGAGTCTGCATAGGGAAACCTGAAATGGTAAAAATCTGCTGTTTTATCTGCCATTAATTCTGCACTGAAGGGCAGGCAGCCCCCTGGCAGTGAGAGCAAGGGTCTTTGCTGAGCTGCCAGGTGCTGAGATGGAGCCAGGCAGCAGGCAAGAACCTTGGCAGGACAACCCTCCATGGCAGCAGGTGCTCACATATGGGAATCTGTGACCCCTTACACCTTCTGAGGGGTCCCAAGGAAACCTGACAGCCCACCCTGGGCTTTTAAAGTGCTGTCTTTAATGGCCCTGATTAGGGCCCTAATTGATTTGGCTGTGCCAGAGATCTAGAAATAGTTCAGTCGTCTGGAGGGAAAGGGGATGGTGCTATGCAGGGCTGGGATTTGGATTTGATGATCCTTGTGGGCCCCTTCCAACTCGGGAGGAGTGGGAATCTTTCAGCTGGGGCTGTAATGTTTCTTGGTGCAACACGTTTTTCAGAAAATGCACTTCTGCATGGATTATAGTTCTGACACTTTTATTTACTCAGCCTGACTGGATTTTTCTGCCTTGAGTTACACCAATCTCTTCTTGAACCCATGCAGATTGTGGACAGCAGCAAGGCTGTGCAGCAGTCAGCTTTGCTGTTCAGCTCACTGTTAGGTGATCCTTCACTACCTTTTTTCCCCTCAAATTTTCCATTTATGAATTTAATATGGTGATGTGTGTGTTTTTTTAGAGGAGACAGTGAACTTCATCTTCATTTCAAGCTGAAGGGTTTACACATGGTCTTGGAGATCTTTCTAACATTCAATGAGTTAACAGAAGGGCACTGAGGGATTCTTGCCATGGTTGAAGTCTTTTATCAAATGAAGCTGAAGAGTCTGTGCTAAACCCTGTCTGAGCCATATTTAGAGGTGCATTTGGAGGTGTATTTCTGTGTGATTGATAGAACTACTCTGGTTTAGTTCCATTATCAGAAAAAACCCTCCACATTAAATGGCTTTAATTTTAATACTTCATACAGCTGGGAAATGTTCTTCTATTTACACTTACTGGAATTTTGTCACAATATCCTCAGATGGTGTAATTCAGAGAATGCTGTTGGATAGGATTGTGTCCCTTTGTGAGTGCCCAGTGAATGCAGAGGTTTAGTCACAAATACTAAATTAAAGTTTGCTGTTTTCAGAGAGGAGGCCTGCAGACTCTCTCTCATCCATGAGCACTCAGTGCAGCCCTGACTCCCATGCTGAAATGGTGACAGATGATGTGAGTGGCAAAGAGGACTGGAATATCAAAAGTACATCTGATAGAGCAGCACATGCACACTATGGAAATGGGAATGGGGAGAAGAAACTGCTCAGAATGGAGGAAAATCAGGAGATTTCTGCATTGGAAGAGAAAGGAATAGATGAAGCAGAAAAGACAAAACCAGAAGATCTTACAGCAAGGGAAGATACTAGAATTTTTCATGAAAACACAATGGCAATGCAGCATCAAAATCCTGAGGTTAATGGGGAATTCAAACAGCCTGGGTCAGGAGATAGTAACCTGAATGAGGAGGAGAAGAAACACCCTCCAGTGCCTTGGGAAAGCAGGGTGTTGAAGATGGAGGATGGCAAGGAAGAGTCTCCTCGGTGTGAGGAAGGAGGTGGTGAGTACAGTCCCTCTGCACAGCCCTGCACACCTGTGCTGCTGTGAGCTCAATATCCACTCAGAACCTAACACTGGCTCAATGTTTCTCTGCTAGTGTTTCAAGTGTGAGGATTTGTCATTTAAAAATGAATTTTAAACCATTTTAAAGCCAAAATGGCTGGATGGCTTCTACTCCCCTTCTGCTCTTTAATGGTTTCTCTTTCTTGCTTCCTATTTTCTGTGTGATAGTTTTTGAAGATTGCAAACTAGTACAGGAGGAAATAGAAAAAACAACTGGAAATGATCATCCTGTGAATTCTGACCCTGAACCTGGTGATTCATGTGCCAACGAGGAAGAAAAGAGTGCAGCAAATACAGAGTGTGATGCCAGTGGAGGTAAGATTGGCTGTCAGTCAGCAACACGGATTAAATTACTCACCAGAAGTCTTTTAACATAAGTGTTTTCCCTTTCCCTTTCCTTTGGCTATCAAAGTCTCTTTGTACTTTTTTTCTTTCCTAACTTGTAAAAAATCAGGTGGTGACTAGCTGGAATCTGTAGTCATGTATAATGAATGCTTTCTTGGCAGTTAAATGGTTGGTTCTAGGAGAAGAATCCAGGCCATTAAAAAACTGTGAGTCAGGAAAATTGCTGTGGAAAGCAGGAATGTAGTGAGGTTCCATGTGCTTCCAGGCAGTGTGCAGCCTCCTTGGGAAATAAGTTGGTTCCCAGGGGCAGGAATCGACTGTGTATTATTCCCTGGTGTAATTACAGAATCCACAGGAAGCTGAATGCTCTTTCTCCTTTGTGCACATATTTCACGTGAGCAATTTGTCAGCTATTTCTGACTTTCTGAGTGTTCCTGTTAAGCTTATAGATGTTGCAGGCACACATGAACTCCCCGCAGGGAGGGAAGGGAGCAGAGCAGGCAGGACAGGCATGACTGGCCTTGCATCAACTTTTTTACTTAAATTCTTTATGCCAGATGCCAGAACAGCAGTACTAAAGACACAGTCAGAGCTCAGGGGTGTGACGAGAAGCAGCACAGCAAGGTCTCTCCAGGTGCCCAGGCTGATGTCCCTCATTGCAGGGCAGAAATGGCACCTTTAGCACTAACCCTGTAAAGCATGGAGCACTGACGTGGTGCTGAGTAAACCAATGTTTGGTTATTCCCCAGCAGCAGCAGATGGAAGTTTCCTGGCAGAAGGGAGGAGAAGCCTGGATGTGCAGGAAGCAGCAGGAGAAGTGGTGCGAGCGGGGCAGGGACCAGCCCTGGAGCAGGACGGTGCTGCTGAGGAAGATGCTGGCAGCGGAGAGGCCGAAGGAAGAGCCGCACGGGCAGAGGAGTCGCTGCCCCAGGCGGGCACGGGGGCTGCGCTGGAGGAATCTGCACCTGAGGAAGGCGCCGTGGCAGAAGAACTTCCCAGCGGAAAGGGAACAGGGGAGGTGGTGAAGCTGGGCACAGAGGTGTCACCTGGGGAGCAGAAGGTGCTGGTGGAGGGGATGGAGAGAGAGGTGGCACTGGGAGCAGCTGGGGGAGAGGGGCCAGCTGGGGCACTGCCAGGATGGGAGGCAGACAGAGCCATGTCCCAGGGGCAGGAGGGGGCTGTGGGGACCACTGAGGAGGAGGAGGAGGCTGCAGATGAAGGCCTCAGAGAAGCAGTAGGGTGGCCAGCAGAGGAGGAGATGGGTGAGCCAGGGTGTGGGGCAGGGGAGTCCTTTGGGCAGGGAGGGTCTGCAGGGAAGGACACTGTGGTGGGTGTTGTGTCAGAGGGAGAGGAGGCTGTGGAGGAAGCTGATGTGGCAGCAGATGGGATGGCCAGAGCTGTCGACCCTGAAGGAGAAGAGGCTATTACAGAAGACATTTCTGAAGGGGAAGAGGCTATGGGGAAGCCTGGGGCTCTCTGGGAAGCACTGGGGGATGTGGAAACAGGAGAAGCAATGCCTGGAGGGGAAGGGTTTGTAAAGCCAAGTGAGTTTTCCCAGCTGAAAGGATCAGGGGAAGAGTGGATGGAGGTGGGGAAAGCTGTCGCAGGAGCAGCAGCACTTGGGAGTGCTCAGGCATGGGAGGTGGGAGGGAACACTCTCCAGATAGTGGAGGACACGATGGAAAAGTCTTTGGAGGCTGAAAAGGGTCCTGTACTGCAAGAGGCACCTGGGTTAGGGGCACTGGGGGGTGTTTGGGGGGATCCTGTCACTAAAGGGTCGTCACAGGTGGAGGAGACGCTGGCAGCACAGGAGGAGGGGGGTGCAGCAGGAGCACTTCTGGGTGGAAACAGCAAAGCAGAGGCAGAGAGAGCAGTGGAAGGAAAATCCGAAGGACAGGTGGCGGTGGGAGGGTCTGCAGAGGCTGCCGGAGCGGGCTCGGGAGGTGAAGAGGTGGCCACAGATGGAGCAGCAGGGTCAAAGGAGCCGGCAGCTCGGCCAGAGGGGTGGCTGAGGTGTGGAGAAGTGAGAAGGAAGGGGAGGACTCCCGGGCAGGCGCTGGGGGGAGAGCGGGGGCTGTGCGGGACCCGGCCGGGGGAGCCAGGGCTGGTGGCCATCGCCGTGCTGGGCGGGCTCGCAGCCCTGGCCAGGGGCCCGGCAGCGGCCGGGGCTGGGGGGGGGGGCACGGGGGCGATGGCACAGGAGGGGGTGACAGGAGCAGCGCTGGGGGCACAGGGCGGGACAGGGGCACAGGAGGTGCCAGCCAAAGGAAGGGCGGCGGGCGGGGGGTCCGGGAGGGACGGGGAAGAGGTGGCCGATGGAGCTGGGGCTGGTGGGCACCGAGCGGGGAGCCAGGGGGCAGCAGCAGGGCCCGAGGGAAGGGCAGCGATGCCGGCGGCAGCCGAGGCGGAGCGGGAGTCGGGCACAGCGCTGCTCGGGGCCCCGGGGCACGGAGAGGTGCCTGCAGCAGGGTCTCTGGGGGAACAGCCGGCTGCAGAAACCTCCCCGAGCACCTCCGACCTTGGGCACGGGCCAGTGGAACCCGGGGGGAGAGGGTCCACAGGAGGCGAGGGGCTGTGCCCGGGCAGCCAGCCACGGCTGCCAGGGACAGCGACAGGGACAGCGACAGGGACAGCGACAGGGACAGGGACAGGGACAGCGACAGGGACAGGGACAGGGACAGGGACAGCGACAGCGACAGGGACAGGGACAGGGACAGCGACAGGGACAGCAACAGCGACAGGGACAGCGACAGGGACAGCGACAGGGACAGGGACAGGGCCAGCGACAGGGACAGCGACAGGGACAGGGACAGGGACAGCGACAGGGACAGCGCGGGGCAGCGACGGGCGGCAGGAGGAGAGGATGGGGCGGGCAGCAGGGAAAGCCGAGGGGGAGCAGCCGAGGCCCTGCGGAAACACGAGAGACAGCGAGGCGCAGGGTGTCTGTGCCGGGGCACGGAGCGCGGCCGGAGCCGGGGAGCGGAGCACCGAGAGCCCCGTGGGAGGCAGCCCCGGTGTCCCGGCAGCCGCTGGCCCGGGGGACGGGAGCCGCGCTCCCCGGCAGGTGAGTCCTGCTGTCCCCAGCGGCCCCGGGCTGATTCCTCGTCCCGTTCCTTACCATTCCTTAAATGTCTGCTGATGGGGCTGAGTCAAGGGATGATCAATCCTTTTGAGTGGCGGCTTCTGCATTGTTTCCTGTTCCCAAAATCCCGTACAAATAAATCCCTTTGCTGTGGCGCTAATTCTCACAGCCCTTCCGCCCTCCCTCCCCTCGGGACGTGCAGAGCAGCTCCCCCTCCCCTGCATGTCGCAGTTCTGGTGGCCTTGGGTGAGCCCTGGGAGCATTCGACTTCCCTGTTACTCCTTGGAGTAGTACCTCAGTAGTACCTCAGTAGTACCTCAGTAGCTCCGAGTTTAGCATGTTTTCTGTGATGTTTGGTCATTGTTTTGTAGGACGGTGCAAACCCAGACCCACTCATCATGTCTTCAGAACAGCCTCAAGATGGGGAAGAAACTCTGCTCTGAGCTTTTTCTGCAGCTCCTCAGTGCTGTGTCCATGCACTCAGCCGGCTGTGGCTTTGTGCTGGTTGAGATTTCGCTCCTCTGTTTACTCTGAGTACCACAACCTGTCACGTTTCACGGGAGCAGCTCCTCAGCGTGCAGCAGACAGACAAGCTTGTGTTTGCCAGCCCAGGTAACAGCACTCCTTTGGAAGAATGAGGACAGAAATCACAAGGATTGTTCCAAAAAAAGTTGTTTGGCTTGTTTTTCTTGAAAACTGGAAAAATACTGGACTGACTGAACTTCCCCTCCTCCCCTAGGCACCACCTGCTCCTGCAGGCAGGCAGAGCTTTTATCCTGGAATCTTCCCCACCCCATGTCAGAGGAGGGGAGCTCCTGCATTGCACAGAGCCCCCTGGGCCAGGAGGCGTGTGGGGGGCTTCCCTCTCCTTGGGGATCCAGCCTTGCTGCTGACCACACTTCAGGGCATTGTCAGCACGTGGAAATGTTGCTGAAAGTTGCCACATCAGAACAATTGTAATAAGTATTTGTAAATGCATACAGCCTGTCCTGCTTTTGGTGGAGTCCTTCAGGGGTGGTCCATGGAACTTCAGCTGAGGTTGCCAGGAGGGTGGTGAGTTTAGACCTGGTGCTGGCTGCCCATCTCTGCTGCACCTCTAGCAAAAAGGGGCCCCTAGGACCCTTCTGGGCTGGGCATCTGGGGCTGGGTGTGCAGCAGCCTCTAGGCACTCTAAGTTTGGTGGGTGCAGCAGACTCAGCCCCACACAGTGGGGGACTCTAACTTCATTTTCAAGTAGGGAAAAGACACTGGAATGAGCAGGACTTTGAGTGGATTGGTGCTGTGAGTCATTTCAGATCACTATACACGGAACTGGAAATTCAAATGTGATCACAGGTGCTGTGTGGTTGCTCCTGGAGACGTTCCTGTACTAGAGATGTTTGCATTTGTACATTCAGTCTGCAATATTCGTGCTACAAACTGTCTCAGAGGGTTGTGTTTTCTGTGTCCATACCCACATGTTCACTCAGGCCTATTAAATACTGTACCAGTCTGTGCAGCTCCTTCAATTTGTGCCACTGGTTTAACTGTAGGAATAACCCCTGCCAGTGCAGCAAGCCCTGAGCTTCAGTGTCTGTCCCTGCTTGCCAGGGCTGACTGATGTGCTGAGTGTTTGTGCCACTAAAGCTGCCTTGAGCAGGTACCCCTCTAAAGCTCCTGCCCAGGGCTGCAGGTGTGGCCACACCTGGGCATGCAGGCACATAGGTGGCAATTCCAGGGTTGCAGGTGAGCAAAGACAGAGAGGGATGCAGGGATTTGCCTTTGCAGAGATACCCTGGGAGCCCCTCCAGGGCTGCAGGAGACCCAGGGCATCAGAGAAGGTTTTGATGAGCAGAGCAGTGTGACTGTAAGGAACTGGAATGCAGACAGTTCATTATTTGACATTCTTGAAGTATTTATAAGTGACTCTTATGTGTATGGTTGTAACTATTGGGGGAAAGAATCCTATGGTTAGGAACACCTATGTGGACTTCCAAAACATTAGTGTACCTGTCATTTGAGCAGGCAGAAGTTTGGAAAGCAAAACCATGGAAATGGATAATTGTATAGGTTTGGAAAATCTTCCCATGGTCCTTTCTCCTCTCCTATATGGTGCTAATTAGTAATTAACTTCAAAGTGAAAAGTAGGTTGCACTTTGGGATAAACAAGATGTGCAGCAAAAAGAAAAAAAGACTAATTATTAAAGTGAGCATATGTGAGCAAAGCAAACTATCCAACAGTGTTGCCACTGGCAAAACTCATTCTTGGCTCATCAAGAAGGCTCTTTTAACTCCCTGAAGTGTCAGGTATTTTCTGTAGCCTGTCACTGCCTCCTGAGGGTTGTACCTCAGACATGTCTCACAAAGCTGGAACCTGGTGACATTGCACAGCTGCAGAGATGCGTTTCATCAGTTCAAAACCATGCCAGCTGTGCAAAGCGGACACAGGATGGGAAGAGTTTAAAGTGCAGCTCCTGGAACTGAGCACCGAGCCCTGGCACTGCTGGCAGAGATGTGGAATGCTGACTCACAGACACCACCAGGGATGCTGGGTGTGGACAGCATGGGCAGCTCATCCATCTGTCTGAAACGAGGGCTGCAAGGTGATTTTCCTGGCTGGCAATTGCCTGAGTGGTTTTGGGGCTCAGCTGTACAAACCAGACATGACAGACCCCTCTGCCTACCCATTGGGACTGAGCCTCTGAGGCTGAGCCTTCTGTGCAGTGCCAGCTGTTCTGTCCTGTTCTGTCCTGTTCTGTCCTGTTCTGTCCTGTCCTGTCCTGTCCTGTTCTGTCCTGTCCTGTTCTGTCCTGTCCTGTTCTGTCCTGTTCTGTCCTGTCCTGTCCTGTTCTGTCCTGTGCTGTCCTGTTCTGTCCTGGCTGTCCTGTTCTGTCCTGTTCTGTCCTGTTCTGTCCTGGCTGTCCTGGCTGTCCTGTCCTGTCCTGTCCTGTCCTGTCCTGTTCTGTCCTGTTCTGTCCTGGCTGTCCTGGCTGTCCTGTCCTGTTCTGTCCTGTCCTGTCCTGTCCTGTCCTGTTCTGTCCTGTTCTGTCCTGTTCTGTCCTGGCTGTCCTGTTCTGTCCTGTCCTGTTCTGTCCTGTTCTGTCCTGTTCTGTCCTGTCCTGTTCTGTCCTGTCCTGTCCTGTTCTGTCCTGCTCTGTCCTGTCCTGTCCTGCTCTGTCCTGTTCTGTCCTGTCCTGTTCTGTCCTGTGCCATCCCATGCCAGCACTCCTGTGCCATGCTGTGCCAGCACCCCTGTGCTGTGCCATGCTGGGGAATTTTGGGACCTGCTGCAGGGATGCCAGGCTCACTTCTGGCTGCTGTCCAAACCCTTGTTTGCTTGGACACCAGATTGTTTTAATCCAGATCACCTACTGCTGATATGTTAAACAATTTAAAATATCACTGCATCTGCCAGGCACTGGCAGGTCTCCAAAGCAGGGTAGGAGTTCTCTTAGCCTCTCATTCTTGGTAAATATTTCAGTGTGCCTGGGCTTCTCTGGGAACAGCGCAGGTTACCTGCACTCCCACAAACTGCTTTGGAACATGACCTACTCATCTACATTTTTCAGAGTTTTTGTTTGTTTTACTAACTGATCACTCCTATGAAACACATTTTCCCCCTGAGCCTGATTTTTTTCTATGGAGAGCAATTAACTAAGACATTGTTTCCTTCAAGGAACTAGTAATTTTAATTAGAATTAAAATTATTTGCAAGCACTAGTCTTTGTAAAGAGCTTTTAAACTAAGAAAGTTTTGCATTCTGATATTTTTTTTTGGTTGTTTCCATGTGCTCCCCTCTGACATGTTCTGAGAAGGTGCTCAGGAATGACACCCACAGCTCAGGTATCAGTGAGTACACAGAAGTATTAATGCACATGAAGCCTGCTTCCTTGCTCCACTTTTGTTTCTCTAATCCAGTTTATTTTCTGGTTTTCAGGCCCAGTCACTAAATGCAGTCACGGTATGGTTACTTTAAGCAAGGGAAGAAGATAGAATGCAGAAAATTCTGCATTCCTGTTGAAAAAGAATCAGTGCTGGAATTGATTCTTCAGATATGAAAATGGATCCTTTCTGTACCATTGGTGTTTCTGGCCAAGGCAAAGATCAAGGAAGGAGACCTAATCTCTGTCCACCCTCTTTCATCAGCCTGTTCCCTGCTAGTGCTTCTGTGGCTCGGCCACGTGGAGCAGATCATCATCTGGCCAATTAGAGTCAGGCAGGCAATTTTCATCAGCATCCCAGATGCAGCTTCTCCCTTCTGCTCTGCCCCCCTTCCCTCACAGCATGCAAACTGCCAGCCTTGCTTGTACTTGTAGAAAGAACACAACACATTTCCTCCAGCTGTAGACAAATCTGGATGTTGCTTTGTTGTGGTTTGCTGGAGCTTTATAATTCCTCTTGCTCAGCCCCTTCCATGGGAATCTTGAGACTTCTTGGGCCAGGAGATTGCAGACAGGGACCAGCTGGTCTCCTTGTGAGCCCCATCCCAGGCTTTCCTGTGTATTGATTCTGACAGTTCTATTGTCCCAGCAGCTGCTGCTGTAAATGGAACTGCACTCGAGACACGAGCCCAGTGGAGCAGTGGTGACCACGGGCTGGTACCAGGGGCAGTGGTGGGAGAGCTGGAACAGAGCTCTAACAGCTTCTCCCCATTCAACTTTGCAGCAAGGGAAATAACAAATGGAAAATGACCTCGAAGCTTTCTACGGTGAAATCTTCCCCGTTTTTATTACTTCAGCACTACTGAAGTAATGGCAGGCGTGTCAGAAGCACTGTCAGAGCTCACCATGCATACTTCATGTCTGTCACACTGCTTGAGGCCTCACTGCAGATCTGCTTCAGGGATCATGGCTGTAGAAACACAACATCCCCAGTAACATCACTGCCAGCACTGGGAAATACTGATTCTGCTCAGCCAGGAAGGCAGCTCTGCCTTGGCCACACTTACACTATTAAAGGTAAATTTTGTTCATTTGAAAAAAGACCCCAGAAAATAATAGCATGATTAACTCTGTAATTGCTAGAGGAAGAGTTCAACTTCTGCTGCCCTGCCTCTATTCCCTCTTTTAATGGTCAGAGTTGCTGCTGCAGGGCACGGGGTGGTCAGCCGAGGGAGATGCAAAAGCAGAATGCAGGACAGGGACATTTGTCATCAGCAGTAAAGCTGTTGAGTCCAGGGGTGTCAGGGGGACACTCAGGGTTGTGGGTGAGGTGGATGGCCGGGCTGGGGCAGGGTCCCTCAGCCGCTGTCCTCCACGCTGCCGCCGCAGGAGTGGAACCTCATGGTGCTCAGGGGGTCCGACACGTACCCTGCAGGAGCAGAGGGAGGGTCAGTGCAGCTGGCACAGGGCGCCCCGTGGGGCCAGCACAGCCCAGGCCAGTGCCCCGTGAGCTCTGCAGTAGCTCACCGTTCTTGTCCACGGGTGGGTACTGGAAGCTCCTTCTCACGTCATCCAGAGACAGGCCCTGAGAAGGGGGGTGCCCAGTGCTGCAATTTAAACGGGAGGTGTCAGTTTAGGTAAGACTGATGATGGCACATCCCCAGACCACGAGAACTTTTTTCCCAGGGTAGAAGGAAAGAACAGCACCATGAGACATCAGCCTGGGGCCCGACCACAGCAGTTCAGTAAACAAAAAGCAAGAGTCTGTCATGAAGTGAGAGCATGAACCCCAGGCACTCAGTTACCCTTCCCAGAGTAACTGCCCTCGAATACCCCATTTGGGGCTTCACAACTGTCTCTGAATTGCCATCTTGGAAACAATTCCAGGCATCAATCCAGGGTCATTGACGTATTCTATGTGTCACTGCTAAAAGGTTCTTGCAAATATATTTCTCAGGCAAGGAAGATTGTGGAATTATCTTCCAGTCATGGACCAAACCTACTGTCCTGCCAACATGTGGTTCATCCCTGATCTTAAGAGATGAGAGTTGCTATGTTTGCCCTTGAAATCAGTTCTCCCAGTGGTAGGGTATAATACCTCAGGCATTTACTTAACGGTACAATAATACAGAACCCACGTGTGTCCCTGCCTTAAAAAACACCAAATGCCATTGTGCAGCCATGAAATGAGTGATACCCAGCTTTTAGGATGTGCCCCGGTAGGAACAGTCCCATCAGTGCTGACTCCCACTACCCTCTATGAGGCTCTTCCTACGTAGTTGTCTCCTGTCTCTGTACCTGCTGGAAGGCTCTGGATTCTGTCTGTCTGTCTGTCTGTCCATCTGTCCCTTTACTTCTCAGCAAGGCCACTTTCACCTTCCCCCGCTGCCCTCCCAGTGGCAGGCTGGGCTGTGTGACGGACACAGGCTCTGTCCTGGTCCTGCCCTGGCAGCTGCCAGCAGCACAGGCAGGTCAGGGAGCTGTGCCAGCCCTGCCTCTGGCCCTGTGGCTGTACGTACCCCTGGCTCCAGGCAGGTCAGGGGGCTGTGCCAGCCCTGCCTCTGGCCCTGTGGCTGTACGTACCCCTGGCTCCAGGCAGCGCTCGCCCGCGCGTTCACCGCGTACTCCAGCTCGAAGCGGGTGCGCAGGGCGGCCACGTGGCTGCGGCCAGGGCCACCACGGGCCACCAGGCAGTCTGAGGAGGAGGAGGGAGACAGGGACCCGCTGCTGTTGCTGGAGGCTGGAGACATTAACTGGATTAAAAAAAAAAAAAATAAAAAATAAAGGTACCATTATGGCGTTTTTACAAGTCCTTTCTCATCTCTCTCTCGTAAGTCATATCCCACTTTCCCTTTTCCAAAGCCACCGCTGTCCCCAGCTGCTGCCACTGTCCCTGTTCCCACCTGCGGTCACACAGAGCTCCCCCACTGGGAGCCGGCTCCTCACCTCAATATTGCACAGACACTCCTCCAACTTTGTGACAACTTCTGAAAACTCTGGTCTCCCCTGTGAACACAACAGGAAAACCAGAGCTGAGTTAAAAATGGAAGGGGACGGAGCTGATGTGATTAGATTGACACACAGGGAAGGGCTGAGCCACAGTCCCCATCATTTCCCCTCTCTGAATTTCATGGCATAGCTGTCAGTCTGTTCGGGAAGCTGATGAATGTTTCAAGTTCAATGCTGAGCTACAACATGAAGTGGTGTGTGCATATGAACTTTAACTGCAATTAATCTCTTTTTCTGTAACAATTAGATTTGAGCTAATGATGACTAGATCACAAAAATACTATTGATAAATTATTGGCTCTGCTCTTTAGGCTGACTTTCTCTTTGCCTATGAACAGGACTTCAGACCCAGCAACAGCAGTGACGAGCAGTGGACGAGTTCCTGGCCAAGCTGCCCTGTGTGGCCATCCTCCTCCCTCCCTTGTCCATGAGAGTTGCACTTAATGAAACTAAATGTTTACTTCTTTACAGAGCTCAGCCCTAGGCCTTATGGCAAATTCTCTGGATCTAATTAAAGCTCACAAATCCAATTAGCCAATGAAAGAGGCTTCTCAGGAGATGCTCCTAATCTTCTAATCACCAGTTTGCCTTTGGAAACAGCTGCTGTCAAAAGTTTCTGGGAAACAGATGTTCAAGTACCTGATAAATAGAAATAGGGACATGGCACATGGGAACTAGTTTTCAGCCGTGATGAGCCTTGAATGAAATTAAAGACAAATAAAATTATATATTTTCTAATTTGGAGGAATTTCATGGCCATCCAGAAAAATCCCTACAAGTATATTCCATTTTCTGCCTTTTTTTTCTTTAAACTGAGCAGCCCTTGTGGAGAATTTTGACCTGTGAACACTCTTTGAGCCCCAAAACTCACCATTTTTCCATAACAAATGGCAGCAAAACACTTTTAGTAAAGCAAAATAGAGCCTAATAAAGAACAGTAGGAAAAACCTTTCAATAAAGATAATTTTGACAAGTTTTTGCTCACATCTTGTGCAAAGTTCTGGCCATCCACAGGCTGATTAAGCCATAAATTGTTTTATAGTTCTGTCCTGAAGCTCTAAAACACTGGCAAGATGAAGTGACATTGGAGTCACACTGATGGGTAACAAACTGCACTGGGACTCTGAAAAGATGGTTTTTCCTTACAGGGGCTGAGTGCCTGTGGGTATGCTGACAGGACACAGGAACTGCACCCATCTCAGCACTTGCTTAAATCAGCACTTTAATAGGACACCTTATTAAGAAATTTAAAATGAATGCGTGTTACATGCTGTCATTAGTCATTCCTTACAAAAATCTGAGGGCAGCAAGGAATCTTCTGCTCATTCTGTAACAGCTCAAGTCATAATCAAGCATTATGTTATTAATTAAGTTTTGTTGAAAGGCTAAATGTTAATTTACTTTCCTCTCAATTCACCAACTCTCCTGTATTTCCTGACACAGCCCATTATCTGCCTGGGGGCGTTCTGCAGTGACCCTTCTCACAGAAACTGTGATTTTGGGGGCATCAGCCAGAGCAATGTGCCCATCTTCCCTCTGCTGGGGGCACTCACCTCAGGACAGGCATTCCAGCCTCTCATCAGCAAGGCAGAGATGGGCTTGGGGATGGAGTAGCCGATGGGAGGGCGGATATGGTGATATGCCATGTCAGCCGCCGCTGCCGCTGCACGGGACAGCCAGAGACACCGTGAGAATCCAGTCACACCAGCCCCAGGAACACCCCTGCCAGCCCTGAGACACCATCAGCAAACAGTCACATCAATCCCAGGAACACCCCTGCCAGCCCTGAGACACCATCAGCAAACAGTCACACCAGCCCCAGGAACACCCCTGCCAGCCCTGAGACACCATCAGCAAACAGTCACACCAGCCCCAGGAACACCCCTGCCAGCCCTGAGACCCCCAGCAGGTATGGAAAGCCACTGCTGAGCGATCCAACCAACGAATAAAGGAGGTTGGATGGAGGCTGGAGGTGAAAGGAGGTGTTTCCCATCAGACCAAGAGCAGACTGAGATGCCCATCACCATGGCCACCTCTGGTCCCAGGTCACACAGCAATGAGGGGCTGAAGCTGATCTCCTTACCCATGGCTGGCTCTGACCATGTCCTGCAGTGCTCATGACCTCTAACAACTCCTGTCAGACATCCAGGGGTCAGAATCTCAGGAGTGCAAAGTGCAGCCCTGGAAATGTTCCTCTGCTGTTATACATCCCCTGTGTCCCCTGCTTTGGGGATGCTGTCCTGAGGCACACCAAGGAGATGCACCAAGGAATGGCTTTGCAATCCCAACAATCATGTCAGAGGCAGACCCTGCAGTCAGAGTGTCCTGCTCCTAGTCCTAGACCTAGACAGGAGAGTTCTGTGCTTTTCACCAAATGCAGTATCTTAGCACTTAATAACACACTTCATTGAGATACTGGTTAAAATTACACAGTCTAGCTACATCTCGAGTTTAGAGAAATTTAAAATATGAATTCATTGAGCATGTTACCTGGTTTCAGGTGAGCAAATGGAATTTCCCCTGTTAACAGCTCCCAGAGGCACAAAGCGTAGCTGAAGACATCAGCTTTGATGGTGTACCTTGTGCACTGTGTGAACACCTCAGGGGCCATCCAGCGCAGGTTCTGGGCACCAGGAAACAGCAATCACACGTTAGCAGTGTTTGCTTCCTCACACAAGCACCTATTCCTGTATTTGTATGGTTGTTTTCCTTTGTTTCCTGCCTCCATCACTCCATAAAATAATTGGTAATCTGCTAGGGAAAACTTTCACCTGGCTTGCAAGATCTAGCCAGCATGCTCCTGTGCATGATACGTAACTGCATTAGCTTGGTTAGAAAAAGGAACCACCTCCCAACAGCATGTGAGTGGAGTGGATTAAAGTTAACTTTTTAGTAAGGAATTGGAGCAACAGAGCTCCAAAGACAGCCTTACAAAGCATTGTTTTCTGCTGCAGATGTTAAATATTCCCTCATCTCTGCTATTAAAGATGGAGGAAAAAAATAAAACCAAGACAGAGAAACACTAGATAGAGATTAAATATTACACCAGTCCATCTTTTCCAACGTATTTCCAATGTCTTCTTCTCCTAAACCGTGTTTGCCTGTATGTTTGATATTAATTATGTGGAACAAAACAAGAAACAAACCCCAGGTTGTTTTGTCATGTTGTCTTCATCCAGGGATTGCAGAAATCGAGATTCTGAAACAGAGCAAGAAAAAGAATTACTCTCAGGCCAATAGAGACACACACCTTATTATGCAAAAGTCCTACCTTATGTACAGTTCCACAGAACCCTCTCAGTAAGCACATGTTGAGTTTTAGAGAATTTTGGGTTAATTGATAAGTGTTTCATAGAAACTCCTTACCTCCAAAATCAGCAACTACTGCATGACCATCCTCATACAGGAGAATATTGTGACTAGGGAAAAAAAACAACTGTAGGTAATTGTTTGATAGTGTCTTAAAGATGGTGAACAAGTTTTTGGGTCATAGTTAAACATTTGAGTTCAAATCACCTCCTTGGGTAGGTAAATGTCTATAAGTACATCTCATATTTATTGTTAGAAAGTGCACATTACCCCAGAGAGGACAAACCAACCTTTGACTGATTTGCACGCAACGAATACAGAGAGAGACTTTTAGAAACTGGCAACAAAAACAAAAACACCGGGCTTCAAACAAAATGCACACTTGGAGAAAGACCCACAAGATGCTTTGGCAAGGTCACAAGCTTCCAGTACTTCTGGAGATAAAGGTTTCCCTGACCCAGTCACTACACCTTCACTCCACAGGGCTTGGGAAGGGCTGAGCAAATCACAGCACAGAAGTGCAGCAAAGTGGACACAACAATGTCCTCAGGATATTTGTCAAAGGCTGGCTGAGCTGAAAATTCAGAAGAGGGAAAAGTGTATGAAAAACAGAAATTAAAAAGTTGGCAAGAGTTTACATGAGAAGGGAAAATGGAAGTAATATTGATGGTCTCAACAGAAAGTACAACATGCTCATATTAGACCTGCAGATACAAACAAGAACAGTCAAGTGAGGAACACAAATTTTACCTCATAACAGTCTTAGGACAGAAAAAAATCTAAGCTCTCCCAAGCAGGACTCCCACAAATCACTGTCTTCAAGATTTCCATCTTCACCTAAACCCAACCCTTGGGATGATAAATTTAATCATAAAAATGTAACCATGACTCTCTTGATTTATATTGGATTTGATTTTAGCTCTCATATGTACTTTCCATCAAAATATTGACATGATTTTAGTATGACATGTGGAATTGTTTTGAGACCCCCACCATATGCCAGATGAAAACAGGAATCAAACACAAGGCTGAACTAGAGCGACTCTTGAAGGCTGTGCCCCAGGGTGGGTGTAGGTAAGCAAGGCACACAAAGCTACAGACTTTGCTCAGATCTGGCCTCTGTCAGTAAGGACAAAAATTACCACCATGTCTCAAAGTGAATAAACTGCACTGAGCCCTAACTTCAACTTCAATATATTCCAGGATTGTGTAAACTTGAATAAATCCAACTTGACAAATCAAGACATAATCAAGACCTAGGCTGACAGTTTTTGTGGAGAAGCAGAGAAATCAATTGAAATTCTCTTTCTCCTCATGGCACACATTTCACAGAATCACAGAATCTCTGAGACTGGAAAAGAAGTCTCCCATACCTCCAAGATCATGGAGTCCAACCTGTGACCAATCCCCACCTTGTCCTCAGCCCAGAGCACTGAGTGCCATGTCCAGTTATTCCTTGGACACCTCCAAGGATGGGGAGTCCACCACCACCCTGGGCAACATCTTCCAAAGCTTGATCACTGTTTCAGTGCTGAAATTCTCCCTGATGCTCAACTTGAACCTCCCCTGGCCCAAGATCAGACAAACACTGCTGGAATGCTCATCTTGGTGCTGAGTGCATTGATGGGCATATCTGAGAGCAGGAAGCAGGCTCTGGGAGGGTTTTGTCAGTCTGGTACCTCCAGGGAACACTACAGTTACTGATTTTTCTTTTTTAAAGTAAAAAAAATACACCCTACAGAAATAAGGCTTGGAAGATGCATCTTAAAAATGCTGTTATTGCCTCAGTGGCACTTGAAAATTTGAAAATCTCAGATGAAACAGGTACTCTTAAGCTTATTTTCAGACATACGGCAAGAAAAATCCAAGCTGAACTGAGCTGGCAGAAGACTAATACTGATTCAGCAGAATCAGAAATTAATTCTCTTCTGTAAAGGTCACACAGGGATTGCAGTGGTGAGAGCAGGCATTGTTCTTTCCATGAAACCATGGAAGGAAGGAAACGAGGTAAGAACGAGGAGTGTGCAATCATCCTGGCTTTGTGAAAGGACATGGTTCTGGGGTCTGCCAGGCATGGAGGCTTCCCTCTCCCATGGCAAATGACAGGCTCAGCATGTCCCTTTCCCAGGGATTCGGGCCATTAAAAGATCCTTCTGCCTTTAACATGCTGTGGGTGTAATGAAAAGCAACGGATATTTTAAGATTTCAAAAGGGATATTTCAACAAAGAGGAGTTGCAGACTCCATCCCCATTACCAGCAGGCTGCCATCCTCTCTTTCATCTCCCTCATCAAGCAGCTCTCAGAAGTGTTCACAGACAGTTAGAGTCATCAAAAGCAGGTCAGTCACTCAAAGGCTTCCTCCAGCCACGTTCAGCTGTTATGGCTTCAATTAAATGGATACTGAAATGGTCTCTCTTTTATTGCAGTGCTATAATCAGTGTGGCTGCCGTCCCTCACCGTGGTGTAAGTAGTAATAAGTTGATGCATGTCACCATTTCTGATGGCTGTCAGAAGTGAAAAGCAACATAAAACTCCCAATTATTCTTCAAATGGAAGGATAACCCCTTTTCCAGGGTAAAGGCACGAAAGATTAATTTTCTTCTCTATTCTGTCAAGCTGTATTGCAGGTTTATTTAATGCATTATGTGCAGTGCATTAGATTTCAGAACTCACAGAAGTGGTTATGAGCTATGTGAAAATTTAAGGTAAAAATATGAGGCTCCTGTGAAGCCACTGGCCAAACTTAACACAGAATTTCACTCTTAGTCTTTCTCTTAAGCTGTTGCAAAGATTTTCATCTGGTAATTGTGCCTGTGGGTTGGCTGGGACTCCTGCTGCAAACACGACTCCTGCTCTCGCACTAAACTGTCAGGAGTTGAGCTCTCAGCAGCACACATCAATGGCACCAACAACCCCAGAGCACATTATTTCTGACCCTCACAAATCCCATCTGGGTGAGTTCTGTGGCGCTTTCCAGCTCTCTAGGAAGATACTGGTTTGGGTTTTCTTTTGTGGAAATCATTATTTAAAATCCTTAAGTGCAGAACTGTTCTTCTAAGAGCCACCAAGGCGTGGAGCTGCACTGTGAGGTCTGTCCTGGCTCCCCTGGAGCAGCTCTGCAGCTGCAGAGTCAGGCATGGGGCTCCTGGCTCGTGCCACTGCCTCAGAAGCAAGGCTCTCCCCTGGAACCACACAGGTTTGTGGCCTGGAAGGGTGGGCAGGGATGCAGGGGTGTGAAGGAGGCTCAGAGGAGGGTGGAGGATGCCATTGCAGCGTGCCTGCTGCTCTGGAGGGCTGGCAGAGCTAAAGGACCATGTTTTGGCTTTAGCAAAAGGATCATTTTCATCCCCAGTCCTGCAATCAGTGCAGCTCAGGTACTTCATCCCCCGTGACTGAAACATGCACAAGCCTGTTTCCATGGCTAGAACACAAGGAACAGGCTTTTCCCTGCAGACACCAAGGACTCAGTGCTCCCACAGGGACACCACCAAAGCGAGGGATGAGTGCCCAGTCCCGTGCAAGATCTCAGCTCCCAGAGGGGAGCAATCAAAGCTGCTGTTAGCTGCAACAAACCAGCCAAGCAAACCCAGGAACAGGCAAACTCAGTGACTATGGGGAAATATTTACAGTAAAAGAGACAAAGCAAAGGGGCAGAGATGAAGTGATGAGGGAATGTGACCAAGTGCCCTTTGACAGCAGGTGTTAGGCTGAAACTGAGCCTCAGAAAACAGATTTAGAAAAACAAATGCGTGCATGAAAACACTGTCAGTGACTGCAGCCTTCAAGGTCAATCACAGTTCAGCAATTGTGACTTGTAGGGGTTTGTATAAAACCTCTGAGATTATTTTCAGTTGAGTGCTAATGAGATCCTGAGGTTGCAGGAGCCTACAGGGTGTCCCTGTGGCTCTGAGCTTTCATGTTCCCTAAATTTTTTAGTTAAAGACAGAAACTGACCTGTTCAAATCCCGATGTATGATGGGCTGTGTGAGATTGTGGAGGTACTCCATGCCTTTGGCCACATCTACAGCAATGATTAATTTAGACTGCAGATCAAGAATTCTGTATTTTGTAAAAAAATAAAAGCTTACTTGAAGTTAATAGACAGTTGAAAATTATTATCTGTAAATCATAGAAAGTTTAAAATTATTTTACATACAAAATGTTATATAATCTATGTAAAGCAAATCTATATACTGTAAAATAATGACAGTAACAACTTTGTGATCACTTATCAGTTTACCTTGTACACCCAATAAACTGGACCAAAGCTCAGTATTTTCTAGTGCGTTCCTTGCTCTGTTTTATGCTGAAATGAATATTTCCATCAGCACAGATTCCCTGCTCCTCCACATTCTGTGAGCAGGCCCGCTGGTGGCGGAGGGCAGTACCTCTTCTGCTCGTGGAGCAGGGAGAAGAGCGATCCCCCGGAGATGTACTGGGTGACAATGGCAAACTGGCTGGGGTCGTCCAGGCAGGCTCCCACAAACTGGATGACACAGGGATGGTTCAGCTGGCAGAGAATGGAAACCTCACGGCAGAACATGTCCACATCAGACTTGGAGCAGTAGGTGTTGGCTCGGTAACTTACAATTGACGTGAGAGGGAGCAGAGGGCAAAGGTATCATAAAATAAGGGATTTTGAAATACTTCAAACCAGGTCAGTGACCAAGAGGAGTGGAAAAGCCTGACAAACTTACCGTTTGATGGCAACAATTTTATTTCTACATCGTCCCTTATAGACTTTTCCAAAAGACCCTAAAATGGTTTAAAATGAATAAGCTCAGCTATGTTTGTTATGAACATCAAACTTTTCAAGTGAATGCACTCTCACTTGTGATACCTGAGCCGATGATCTCATGGAACTCTATCTCGGAGAGCTGGAGGTGGAAGTGGGAAGGCAAACCAGCCCGGAGGAGGAGGACATCAGCCTTTTCTGCAAGAGAAACACCCACCCCCTTTGTAAAACACGGGCAAGGGGAGGACTGAGCAGAAAAGCACTGAACTTGAGAATTCTTGCACTGGGAAAACTGATTTATCCCAGCAAAATGACTGCAAATCCTGCTCCCTGCTGCAGCACACCCCAGGGACAGACACACCCTACAAGCCTTGGGCACTCCTGGCTTTGGCACCTGTCAGCCACGAGCACTGTCCCACATTCCCACACTCTGCCTGTACCATGGGACAGCAGCACAGAATTCCTTACATGGAGAATGAATTCCCTTTTTCTGTGTAGCTCATTGCTGGGGATGCTATTCCAGAGCCACCTGACTTGTTGACACGTGGAATTTAAACTTTGCAACTAAATTTAGTTGTCAAATGTCTCCATCTTGTTTATCTTTTTAGTTTATTACTATAAAGTTCATCAGAATATTTCAAAACAGAGCATTTTGATGCTGCTATGTGAAGGAGGTAAGGATTTGATTATATCCAGAGTGAACATTTAAAGTGGAAAACTGAAAGTACCACAAAAAAAAATAAATAGAGGAAATATCTTAAAATAACCTTAAAATATTTATCTGAATGTTTCAGCTGCATTTGTTTCAAAGTAAAATTATTTTTGGACAGAATTTTTCTTATAAGGATAATTCAGGCATTTCACAGTGTGATTTAAATGGTATTTATTTCCATTCATGAAGAATGGAAATAAATTTTTGAGTATTTCATGAGTACTATTTCACATCACAGCCTCTTCTCAAAGAAATAAAGAGAAATAGAAATATTTTTTTAAAGTGAATGAAAACAAGGCAGATACAGGAATTGTCATTATACTGGGGAACAAAGCTAAGTATATTGTTTCCTAAAATCATCCCAGGGAAATGGAACAATGTACCATAAAAAGTCCAGGAATAATGAATCCTGTGTAGGATGCTCAGGCTGACAAACACATTGGATAAAAGGACCACAAAAGTTCACGTTCTCCCATTTCAAATACCTTTTGTCATGCTTTTAATCTTCCCTAGAGGGGATGGCACTGACACATAGGAACCATCTGAAATAAAGAACAGAGTGGAATTATGGAGTTCAACAACAACAAAGTGCTGGTGCTGATAAATTCCCGAGTCAATGATGCCAGAAAGAACTAATAATAAAGGGTGGGAATTCAGATAAACACACCAACACATCTGGTGGGAGCTGGTGTGGGCTGGGACACAGCTCATTTTCTTCACTGAACCAGGCAGGGCAGACTGGGATGCTGTGTGACTGCAGCCTCGGGAGGAATCTGTGAAATGGTGAGTCCCATGACAATGATTTTATTTGTGCTGGACAGGACTGACTGCTCTCTGCTCTCTGACATGGGTGGAGCACTTCCAGAGATTTCAGCAGTCTGATTTGGATCAGGCCCTTTCAATAAAATGAGTGCTCATACCTCCTCCAGGCTGGGAGTATTCATTGCAGGGGGATTCATCCTGAGGTCTCTTGTAATGCTTCAGGAGGGTCACAATTGCATCATGGCCTAGGAAAGAAAGAGGAAATACAGGGATTTACAGGCAACTCAAAAGACTTTTTTTTAAAAAAATTAATTTATACAAAATCAGGGGATTTTTAAAAAAAACATAAAACATACCTACAAAATATGCAAAGACATGGTGATGCTAATCTAAACCTACTGTGATTCTTAATTGTAGAAATACGGGAAATTTCTGCCAGTAGAAACAAGCATGTTCCTTTGTCGAGTCCACCTATTCCTAAAATGCAAGATATGGCAAAGGAAAACTCTGCTGCAGAAATCCTGCAGCAATGGATGTTGACAATAGTCCTCAGTGGACCTGACAAGGAAAACCAGTGCCTGTAAACATTCTTTTTGTAGTCCTAACCCAGAGAGATTTGTACACCCATTGCTGCAGATGGAATCTACACCTGCCCCTTGCGAGGCACCAGCTGGCACTGGGGCCACCTGCTCAGGGTTTGATGCACAGAACTCTGCCTGGCAGCATTTAAAATTCTTTCCTAAACCTTTCCAAAATGAGTTTTCCCTCAAATAATTTCTTATGTATATTTTTCCAATAATCAGGTTTTGAAAAGCCTTGCAAACTAAGCTTTAATATATTGCAGTCATTCTCACAATAAAAGGCACTGCAGGGAAATGTCCCAGAAGCCACAGACTCAGAAACAAGATGGGAGCTGCTACCTGGCTGTACATGCAGGACAGTGCAACAGGAACCATGGAAGATGCCTCACTTTGATCCATATTTGGAGGAATTCAAGATTACTGAATGATTCATTGTTCCCCACAATGTTCAGCAATAAAATGAGAACTCATGTGCATGCCAGAGGAGGAAGAGCCCTTGCTGCACAGGCTGTGTGTCTCCTGTTGAGCAGCACAGAAACACTCCTCTTGAGTTTGTGCTGGATTAAACTGATGTTTAACAGAGATCTGAAATGAAAAATTGAAGGGCTGGGGCCTATAACCCCTTGTGCCATTCCCTGGGGAGCAGATGGTGGGGGCTCTGTCTGCAGGCATTGGCAGGTTATTCTGCAGCATTATCTCCTTCCCATGCTGCCCTCTCCTTCCTGCACAACTTCTGTGCCTTTTGTAGCAGAAACCAGAAAACTGAAATACCTTTCTCATAAGCCCACATCAAACAGGTCTGCTCATCCTTTTCTCCACTGGACCTGCTGGGATCACAAGCTACAAGGTTCATATCAGCTCCGTTATCCAGCAAGAACTGCACGAGGCGAATGTGGCCGTGGTAGCAAGCACAGTGCAATCCTGGAACATCAGAGAAGTGTGGGGAGCTGTCAGAACGTCACAACAGGACTGCAGCAACAACTGCAAAGTGCAAATCCATCTCCTCAGTAAATAAGTATGTTGTCAAAAAAATACCTGAGGCAAGAGGTGAAAATTAAACATTAGGGCTGCAAGAACCAATCCATTGCCTTTGCACAATGTGACACCACTTACTCTGCCACCTACAAACCGCATTTAACGATTCCGTATGTGACAAAAAGCAAGTGAAAACAAAGGCAGCTCTGTGTAGTGGGGACAGAAAGGTGTGCAGCCCCTCAGACACTGCATTCCTGAAGCCTATCTCTTTGCAGAATAATTTCTAATACTACTTAGAAGTCTCAGTATGGGAGGAACAGCTTACACCAGGTTTTGTTACTCATGTACACCCTAATGAGCCTGACACATCCTCACTGAAGTCTTATCACTTCTATGCCTCCTGTAAAAATATTTCAAAAAAGCTGTGCTGTGTCTGAAAGGTACTTGGGTGCTGGAATTACCCTGGAAATCCTGGTGGTGTATGGCTTCCCAATACTTTGGTGCTGGTATGTACCGTCATACAGTAAGTGTGATGATGTTACCTGTGTGCCCATCTCTCCCCTGATGATTGATGCCTACAACATTCTGGTCAAGAAGAAACTTGACAAGTTCTATGTTCTTTCCATAGGTGCAAGCACTGCAGAAGTAAAGGGGAGTGGTGAGTGCTATAGTCCATAAAAGAATTTGGGTAGCCAAAAATACACGAAGAATTACACAGAGATAAAAATATAGTAACAAAGGATCAATAGAAATGTGCAAATGCATGATTAATCCACCAGAGCACATTCATTTTTATTGCTTCAGAAACATTCTAATTATTGCTGAATCACCGAATTTTGCCCAGTTGTGCAAACAGTCTGTGTTGCAAAGTGCCTCTTAAACAGCCCTTTACATGCCAACCAAACCATGTTCTGCCTCCTGGTTCCTCATTCAGAGTACCTGGCTCCAGGTGGAACAAGCTCTGATCTCAGCTCCCAAACCGGACAAGGAGAGGAACCATTGTCCAAGCAGGTGCTGGTGAACCTGATTTTCACTGCCTGGTTCTGCCTCTCACTTCATGCCCTGTCATGTATCTCACGACACAAACTCACCCTCCCTGTGCAGCTCCCTGCTCGCCCTGTCCCTCACCTGGTGATACATTTGTCATTTTGGGTGTGTAAGTGGAAATGCTGGGAATGGCATTTGAACACCTCACCTGTGGAAAGCTGTTTCACTGAATATATTTTCTTTAGTGAGACTTTCTGTTCCCGAGAGCTGAATTATTTCCTTGACAACTTCAAACTTGCCATTGTAACAGGCACTGGGGAGGAAGCCAGTGCAGAGGTGTTAGCAAAGCCAGCCCTCCCACAGCCCCAGCCCCAGCCCCAGCCCTGCCCAGCAGCTGCCCCGGGGCACTCACAGGTGCAGAGGTGTGTCTCCATAGATATTCACCACGTGGGGCTGCACTTCAAAGCTGCTCTGCAGTAAGAACTTCACAATATCATGGTGCCCAAATCGAGAGCAGAAGTGCAGAGGCACATGGTCTTCGTTGTCCTGAGCATTCACTGCCGATCCACCCGGACAAAGACCACAGAAAGGATTTTGTACTTAGCACAGTGTGTCTGGGATTGTTTCGGATATTTAGTGGAATTTGATGTGTTGTGTCTATGCATTTTGAAAAGTCTTGGAAAAATATTGTTTAAAATTGAAATTTCTGTGATCTTTTGTGTATCAAACCCAGATTTCTCCGTGCCATCTGCAGTGCACTGTCAAGGTGATTTTCTGAACTTAGGGCATGGCTGCTTTCTTCCAGCTGCAAACTTACTGAGTCTTTTGACAAAGCTTTCCATGAAGGAATCATGAGTTATAAATGACCCTTAAAACAAGAAATTTTGAAGCAAAAGTAAGATAATAACAACACCAACAGAACTGGGAATGAATGTCCAGGCAGCACAGGACTGCTGGCATCTACCAGTAGCAGCAAATATTCCAAGGGCAGTTGCACAGTGTGTCCCTCCTGGGGGATCCTTGAGCTGCAGACGGGAATGTTGGAGACTGCCAGGAGTTGTGGAGCACATCCATGCTCCATGCCATCCTGCCTAGGGGACAGGCATTTGCTGTGCTTTTGGGCTGACTAGTGAGTCACGTTATGTTAAAAGAAATAGTTCAAGTTTGTGACCCCAATTACTGGTATGCACTGAAAAGTGCCAGATTTATTCAGGTTCTTTCCCCAATTCCTTTCATTCCTGGGCACTAAAGACTTTTCCTCTGCTGCTGCATTTACAGCAAGTTTCAAAGTGTGCTACTTTAAGAGCAAAAGGCTTCCCGCTTCCAGTCCCCCTTTTCTTTTTTTTCTGTGCTGAAGATTCTGAGTTTAAAGAAAAGGACCTGAAATGGTGCCCTAGATTCTTTCCTTTTCTAATAAACTCTCTAACAGAGAGAAAACCTCCCACTGCCTTGTCATGATGAGAGAACATCTCTCTTTTCCCCCCTTTATTATAATTATATCAGGCACACACGGAGGCTGAAACACCCTGAGCTCTGAAAACTGCAAACAGCACAGACCTGGCCACGCTTCTTCCCTGCACGAGGAGGAGGTGTGACTGCAGGACTCTCAGAGAACATGCTAAATGGATCTACTGAAGAGCAGTACGTTTCCAAGCAGTGCAATATTACTTCCCAAAAAACATTTCTGTCTCTTACTCTGAGGATAAGCAATTAATTTTTAAATAATTTGAAATTTGCTCAGTATTTCTCAGAGTCACAGAATGGCCTGGGTTGGAAGGGACCCTGATCTTTAAGGTCTCTCCCTGTGGGCAGGGACAGCTCCCACTGTCCCAGGCTGCTCCCAGAGCCCAGCCTGGCCTTGGGCACTGCCAGGGATCCAGGGGCAGCCCCAGCTGCTCTGGGAATTCTATTCCAGGGCCTGCCCACCCTGCCTGGAAAGAATTTTTTCCTGGTGTTTAATCTAACCCTGCCCTCTGTCAGTGTGAAGCCATTCCCCTTGTCCTGGCACTCCCAGCCCTGGTAAATAGTGTCTCTCCATCTTTCTTTAAGGCTCCCTTCAGGTACAGGTAGGAATCTCTGCACTGATAATCACAACATGCCCAAAATGTGACCTCTAAATTACATTTGTGTGTCTGTGGGATGTGCCATCAGTAAGCAGGGGCACACCTGTGCCAGGTGTCACAGCAATGGAGGAGCACGGCTGGAGAATGGCACATCTGTGCCTTCAGTGTTGCTGAAACAGCAAAAGGAGAGGGAACAGAGAGGAAGAACCCAGCAGAACCAGCATATGCTAGCAAATAACTAGCATACTTAACCAAGGAAAACCCTCCAACTGCTGTTTTCTTGTTTTGGTTGTCCAAAGGTGATACACAGACACACATACAAAGAAGCTAAGACTCTGTCTAGAAAACACAGTGTTAAAGATGATTTTTAAGTATCTTTTCTTACCATCAGCTTTGCTTCCCTCTTCCATCAAAAGCTTTGTGATGTTGAGAAAGCCTTTGGCAGCAGCCAGATGGAGAGGTCTGTCCCCAACCTCACCACTCGCATTCACATCGGCTCCAAACTTCAGTAAGAGGTGGGTTACCTAAATACTTAATTAAGGTTAATTAAAATATCACATGAAAATAAAACTTTGAGAAAACCAGATGCAATATTGCATTGGGTAATACTGTATGTGAGCACCTCTGTAAAGTTAAAACAGGGAGAAGAGACTCGATAGAAAACTCATTTTTAAGTTACCTGTCTATAAAAACATTAAAATTCTCAAAAGCCAGTGCACATTCATTCTGAAGAACATTGTCTATGGTGAATGGAAGCAGACCTGTTTGTGTGAGTGTCCCTGGAGGCCCCAGGCCCCGAGCTGGGCTCTGCCCCAGTTACCTGCTGGTGGCCACAGTAGGCAGCGATGTGCAGCGGGGTGAAGAACACGGCGTCCTGCACGTTCACGTAGGCCCCGTGCTGCAGGAGAACATCCACAGCCTGCAAGGAAAGCAGCAGCACAGGCCAGATAGCAGCACTGTGTATCTATCTGCTCACCTGGCAAAACAGGACTTGGAAACCTCCTGCCTGCAGTTTAAAAAAAGTCCAACAGCCCCAAACGAACGAGTTATAAAGGTGCAGAGCTGTGTACAGCATGTAAAAGTGATCGACTTACAGTACTTGAACTGAACACTGAATGTCACTGATGCTTTATAAACGAGCCTGAAAATTGGTGTGCCACTAAAAAAAATGATTTAGGAAGTAAGAGGCACAAATGGCTGTCTGGATATTCTCAGAACAACCTTTAATTTTCTTTTAGCCATTACGAACAAAGAGCTGTAAACATATCAGAGTTTTTAAAAGTGAAAAAGTCACACAAAATGAAAGATCTTTTTAAATTCAAATGTGTGAAGGTAAATCTTCAAACATGGAAAGATTTCTTTGTGTTTCAGAAGATAAGAGCTCTTTGGCTTCAATAAATAACCCTAAGTGTTTTCTTTCACATTTCTACTTTTTTTGGTCCTTCAGGAGACCCATGTGTTCCTGCAAAGCCATGAACTCTCAAGAGTTCATGCTGCATAGCTGCCAAAATAGAATCCTGAATGAAGCCCACTCTGGGCTCTCACTGAAGCCTGAGGCTGCTTGTTTTCCTGAAGCACGAGGGAGTCTTTGGGCACATGAAGGGCTGGGGCTGGGCATTCCAGGAATTCTGTGTTCCAGTTTGATGGATGCAGAGTTTTGGATGCCATGATGAAGAAAGTCTGGGCCATGAGTCAGCACAGCAGAGCGAAGAGCTGGGGCTGAAGGGCTAACAACCACGGGGCAGTGGCCAGCTCCTGCACGGAGCTGCTCACACCTGCAGGGTGCCAGCCAGTGCCAGCCCTCACCTGCACGAATGTCACCTGCTCTCTCGGCTGAGACCCCCCAAAATGTCAAACATGCAACAACAGGGACAGTCACTCCAGCCCATCCAACTTCTGAGTCCTCAGAACACAAACTCTTCCCCAGCAACATCAGTGTACAGCAATTGTTTCTTTACACAATTTCAATTGTTCTTTTTTCTTATGATGGCCTGAAGATATTTTCTGCACAAAGTCTGTGCCCTGGCATATGTAAATGTGTCCATTTCCCACCAGTTTGAACCATTTTTCTACGGCATCAGCTTTGGTTTCCCCCGGGGGCAGCACTGCAGAGCCAAGTCTGATCACTGCCACGAGTGGAGGCTCTGTAACCTCCCTGAACGCTCTCTGTGCTGTGTCACTCTCATTGTCACCCCCTCGCCCCCTTTGTACAGGCAGAATTTCCCTTGCTAAACTTCACGTGTGCTGACATCCTTTTGATGTGGATCCTTTTGCTGCCAATCTCAAAAAAGCATTTGTCTACAAAACTAAAATCCTAGGAAAGATCCCCTGAGATTTTGGAGAAGCTGCTGGCTCTTGTACCAGCTGAAGGACAGCTCAGCAACAGGCACTCATGGGATGGGTGGGAATATGCTCAGGCAGAAAAGAGTAAACTCAATTATTTAGTTAACACAACTGATTCCCTCCACAGTGTTTCCTGTGTCTGGCCAATTTTCAATATCTTGGTGGACCAGAGGTGGAAACATAGAGCCAGCCAGGCAGGAATTTAATGGTTTGGTGGGTTTCAAATGATTAATTTAAGTCATTTTTCAGCAAACCACCATGATAAAACTGAAGTGGCAGCTGTTGTCTCTGAAAAGAGATGTTTGGGCCTGCACCTTTTACACTAATATGACTGGAATGTCTTTGGATCAGCCTGATTTTAATTTAGCCATGAACTGTGAGGCTGTAACACATTCAAGAATGTGATCATAACTCCAATTCTCCTTAAACCCTTTGGGAGCTGGAATTAAAAACTTAGATTCATCTAGAAGCTTTCAAAGTGGATCTTCAAGATGAAAAACCTGTGTTGAGTGATGTGGATCCATCCCTGGTGATGAACATAAAACTAGATGGGTTTTGACACATTTTCCGTGCTGCAGCAATGGCAGCCGTGCTTGCTGCTTTGTGATCTCCTGATAAATAGAATTTTGTGTGCTGTACTAAGCAAACTCCACTCAAGTGTAAATGATGAGAGGGGTACAGAGACAGGCTTGATAGTCTCTCAGACAAGATATCCTTCTAGGAAAGACAAAAGGAGACTTAGAAAGCACTGAAAGCTGTCATAGGCATCACAAGTAGGAGGCTATGCTGAAGGGATGTGCAAGGATAGAAATACTTCAGAAACTAAGGAGAAAAAAAAAAAAAATATTTTTATCCTCAGGAGACAGAGAGTGAGTGAAGAAGAAGTGTGTGACCCAGGGGACATTGCCAAGGTGCAGAGAAAGCAGCTGGGTGGTCAAAGGCAGCCAGCAGCACCCCAGAGGGCTCACAGTTCCCTGCAGAACAAGGGGAACGAATGCTTCCCTTCTCCTTGTACAAGCAAATGCTATTTCAAAACAATACTTTAAACAACTTGTACAATAGCCTTACTTCACAATTTTTCTTAAAATTCTCTTACAAAAGGTTTATTCAGAAGTTTTTTGAACAGTCAAGTCAATGACATTCACTTCACAATTAATGAAGCCACTCTGAAGGTTAGAAGGAGCCAACAAAAAAGCCCATGAGACAGACATAAGGACTTTGTGTTTTGGAAAAGGGCAAGGGATAAAAACTTGTCCATATAAGGGGGGCTGAAAAAATTATTCCGTGTTTCCATGAATATTAATGAAATTGTGGACAAAACAAGCTATTTAATCTGGTAGAGGAATTCTAAACTGACTGAAAATTCCACAACTATGTAAAGAAGGAAAGCAAGAGTTTGGACTATAAATCCTTGAATTCCAGAGCAGAAGATGAACCAAACGAGTTATGTTGAGTCCTGCTCCATTTATGGAGATGCTTCTGATACAGAGCTGATCATTCCCAGGGAAGAAATAAGGAACTTTTCAATACAACTAACAGTTTACTTCTTATTGAGTTAACAGATTCATCCGGGCAGGGCTGTGAGCACCTTAACTTGCCCACAACCTCAGCAGGAGCCCAGGACGGGGGAGCAACAGCAGGGCTGCCTTTGGCATTTACAGCAAAAGGCCCAGATATTTTAGGAATTACTTGAAACCCCGGAGTGCTCAAAGACCACTTTGTACTGTCCACAGACGAGACATTAAATACCTGAGAATGAGACCACCCCAGAGTCAGGGCTCAGGTTAACAGCTCCACCATCATTCTGCACACAACTATTAAAGTCAAAGAATCATCAAGGTTGGAAAAGACCTCCAAGACCTATCAAGTCCAACCTTTGATCTGTGTCCTTTGTGCATGTTTGTTCAGTGTAAAAATATATACACAGATGTGATTTTCCCAAAACACAGAAAAAAATTAAATAAAATTAATTAATAAAATCCAGCTTAACCAGTTCTGAATTTTGTTTTGAAAGACATCAAAGTAAAACAGAGTGACCTGCCAATACCACCCCCCACTGCAGTCCTGGGCAGTCAGAGTGTTGTACCTTGTGGTGGCCGGCAATGGTGGCGACGTGCAGGGCCGTCAGCGCCCCGTACCCGACCTGCTGGATGTCAGCCCCGCCGTGCAGCAGCGCCATCAGCAGCTCCACGTCGTCCTGAAAGACAAGGATTTATCCAGGTCCTTCCTGGGACACGGCTGTCACAGCTGAAGGGAGCAGAGCCAGCCTGCGGGGCGCCAGGAGGGGCTGCGGGAAGCGCTGTCCCCGGCACCCCACAGCTCTCCTGTGCTACACCCAAGCCTGGGTGCTAAAAGAGTCTCCATCCTGATTTTATGGTGGCACTGGACAACTCCTCTATCTTGAGTTGCTTTGGATGTCTCCATCAGTAATTTCAAAGCAATATCCTGCCCCGTGGGTGACACCACAGAAGTGCATGGGCTCTTTCTGGGGCATTTTCCTATGCACCACAAATGTGAAACACCTATTTTCACCAGAAATAATGACTAGAGAGCTCATCTAGACAGTTTGCACTGATCAGTTGCTCAGTTCTGGTTTCCTATCAGAATTCTATTTATTCTATTTAAAATAGTTTACCTTATAAGCTGCCAAGTGCAGAGCTGTAAATCCATTTCTCGTCAGTCTGGATGGGCGCAGCCCTTTCAGCATGAGAGTTCTGATGTGTGATTTGTTGCCTTTAGAGAGAAAAGTGAAAAAAAAGTCAGTTACAGGAAAGAACATGCAGATGAGGTAAGAAGCTCCTGTGTGAAGTTTGAAAGCAGAGAAATAGATATCTCTACTGCTGACCTGAGGCAAGTAATGAAATGTATCTTTTGAAACTTGGCAAGGATGAGTTTGATGGAAGTACCTGGCTGGGACAGTGGCGGGTCTGGCCATGCACCAGCTCACTGTTCCCACTTTAACGAGGATGTGGTAAGGGTGGCTGAGCTTCCAGAGAAGCAAACTCCTCCTTTAACATCCAGACCACGCTGCAGAGAGCTCTATGAACCAGAAGGTGCTCCTGGAACCTCTGGTTCCTCAGTCACTGAGCTCCTTTGCCATCTCAGACCTGGAGCACTGCTCTCCCCACACAGGACATCCTTACCAGGACAGTCATCATTTTGGGGAGTGCTAATGTGGGTCCATTAATGTGGTCCAGAAAAGTAGCTTTGCTCTGACCTTTCTGATGCACAGTGAATCAATACATAAATTCAATAAATTCATGTGCCTTCTGAATACTTGTGACAGGAACCAAGGACAGGGTCAGATCTAGTAACTCTCTGCCCTCCTCCAAGTACTCACAGAACTAATTAGTGTGTGTTTTCTTAAACTCCCTCTCAGCTACCCCAAGTGCTCTGATGTTCCATGTACTGATGTCATCTTTAGACAGGATCCTGCACTCAGAAATGACAAGTAAAGATCCACTCATTTTTCAGTAGTGCTTTCAGGTTGCTCCTCATGGTGAACATCTAACTAAGGTTGATACAATAATTTATGCATGTCATTAATCAGTACTTTGCAGAGCTGAAACCTCAGGGTAAAAGTCTCTCTGCCTCTCTCAGCCAATTTCTGCTGAAAATTGCATAACAAGAGCAAAGCAAGTGCACGAAGCAGTGACTTGGTGTGGATAGCAGAGCAGCTGTGTGGATCCAAGTGGAAAATCCCACCGTTAGAATGTTTTTATGAGCATCCCAGAACACATCTTGCCCTCTTCCCTTGTGTATTCTGATCTGCTCTCTGGAAAAGCCCTAACAGCTGATGTTTTTCACTAAAGCATTTCAGCTATCTTTCTTTTAATCAATGTGAAATAAAATACAGGTATCTCCATCAGAGTAGAAAAGTTGGTGGTGTAAGTAGAGCAAAGTGGTGCTACAACAAGGTCCCTGTCCTGGAGCCTGAGCCATGCACAGAATCCAGAAATGTGGAGCCAGAAATGCTCTGTGATGAGCTGGGATTAATGAATGCACGTGGAAACAATTCTGGATGAGCTGAACACCTCTAGTAAATCACGCTGCATCATCAACCACAACTTCTGTTCTGGCTGACTGAAGAATCAGCTGTTGTGGGGCTCTCTGTGGCTCAATTCAGCCCTCTGGCAATGAGCTCAGGGTGATGCTGAGAGCTGCTCCTCCCTCTGAGCAGTTCCCTGAAGGTGCAGTGCTGCTGCCAGCAGAAGAGGCAGTGATTTCTGGGGGTAGCCCTGTTTCAGACACCTACCCCCACACAGGCAGCACAGGTGCAGCAGCGAGAGCCCGTTCTCCGTGCGGTAATTCAGGTTGACTTTGCCGAAGGCTTCATCGGAGCTGAAAAAGGGATTTTATAGAGGATTACTTCTTTCTCCTTTCAGCACAGCTTCTTGCATGTGGGAAACATTAAAATGAGAAATCTCAATGTAATTTTTTTGATAAACAAGGCTGAATTTATACCCAGTTTACAGTCTGCAAATCTAGAAATACTTTACTACTATCAGGTTGAGTGGTCCAGATTTATTGTTTTCTGAGAAATCCTGCTATGCAATCACAACAAATACATTCTAAATTTATCTAAATTAGGGGGAATAAGAGGAGACACTCTTAGAAAATATAAATAATCCATACAAACTCAGCTTCTGTATTAATGCAATAATAACTAAGAAGTATTTTTTAAATGTGTGTACTGAATTTAAAATTATGAGTAGGACATGCATAGAGCAGGGGCCATCTTGCTAGATTAAAGGAATAAACGAGGAAAAGCCTATCAAAAAGTGAGTTTACACTCCCCAAATGAGATCACGGGGCCAGTGATCACTGTGCTTGCTTACAGGTTGTTAAATGAGACAGTACTTGGACATTCTAGCTTTTGTCATCGAGCCTGCTGGGTTTCCTTCAGCACAGACTGATTTGTTACTGATCCATCAAACACTCTAAGTAATTACATTTGTTGAAAACTAAATACACCTACAGTTAATATTTCTTTGGAGAATCTCGATTTTGGCCTGCCCATAGAAGTTTGGGATTTTCCATTCAGTATCAGCACACCTATGACCCCAACTTCGCAGAACATTTGGATTTGAGTCACTACAAACCCACCCTGAGGGAGGAGCAACCATTAAACACATTAACAAGGTTACAATAAAAATAAAGAATGTTTCAATACTTTTCTTAACTCATTTCCAGTCTGTGAGCTGGGTGCTGGCAGCACTGGAACTTTGCAGGTAATGAACACATTACTGATTGAGTAAGGCTGGGTGAGCCTGTGTGTGAGCATGTGCTATCCTGAGAAAATCAGTGCAGCCCTAACTTTGAATCCACTGCTTTTGTGTTTGTCTACAGTGGCACACTCCAGCAATATTCCTGGCTGCAGAAACACATCACCAAAACTGAAAAGTGCACAGCAAAATCAGACATTGTACTAGAGCTAATGATTTTACAAAAGTACATCGATGTTTGTTGTAAAATACTGTCAGTAATTATTAACAGTAATTCTGGAACTGTGCTGTGGGGCTCTGCCCAGCTCTGGTATTCCCAAAAATAGACATAAGGAACATGCATTCCATACATGAGACACTCTGCCCATATAAAACACCTGAAACTGAAAATACTGTTTGATAGCAAATAGTCACTCTAAAGAAAACAATAAACAGATTCACAGAATATTTTACCTGAAAACATGCTTTAACTCTGCCAGCTCCTTTTCCTTGATTTGCAGGTCATCCTCCAGCCGCTCCGTGACCGTGGCGTAGGATTCACTGACTTTCTTCTTCCATTCATCTACAACAAAAACCCCCAATTGATAAAAGGCTTCCAAGCAAAAAATCATAATGTCCCAGTAACCAAAACACTTGATTTTCAAACGTCCAGTTGCACAATTTCATATATATTTCTATTGAAGTTTAAAATATTACAGCTATTAAATTGTTCCTGCTGCAGCCAATACAGAAACATATGCACTGTCTCTGAAATCCTTGTATATGTATGAATCCTTACCAGAAATATTTTAATATTGAATAATATTCAAGAGAAAACTTAAAGCTCACTTGTTAGCTCTTTTCTCCTCAACAGACACGCAGCAGAAAAAGGTTGGAGATTTAAAAGCTTTTCTCATGAAGTATGAGTTAAATCAATATAGTATACAAGTTATTATGACCTTATAAAATTGCCCAAATAAATTTAGTTTAGCAGCTTTTTTGTCTTCTTTCGCAGCCTGTATCTGGGTTAAGTGAAGAACAATACCTGAGCCTTGAACTCAGGAGTAAAGCAGGAATGAGTTATCTCCTGAAATACCATTGCTCCTTGCCGATGGATGGATGGCACATTGCCTGTAAAAAAGTGACATTAGTTACCCGTGCAAGTCTGGGTTGGTCTAGATTTATAATTTCCCATTTGTCCAATGGATCTTCTTTGTTTCAGCAAAGTTCTTGCAGTAATATGATTCCCTGTTCAGGGGCAGTGACTGTCCTGCTGAAAAATACTTGTGATAGTCTCTGGCTAAAAATAACCACTGTGCCAAGAGGAATGTCATGCAACAATAGCATGGAGCGAAACAGCCTGTGCTGTCCCCTGGGCTAAAGCCATAGAAACACCCACTCAGCTTGCTTCTATTCTCCTGCTCATTCCCACAAAAAACACCTGCCTTCATCTGTTGAACACTTACAACTAGTGGGAAGCGGTAATTTGGCAGCTTGATACTGACTTTGTGGAGAAAAGGGAATTTAAGCAGCTGAATGGCAGGAGTTCTGTGAGGATCCCCAGGGAGTGCAGGGGGTCCCCAGCTCAAAGAGGCTGGGGATGATTGCAACTCACAAGCCCCTGACACAGGGGGTGGCACTGGGAACATCCAGGTATGGCACTTAGGAAGGGCAATATATAATTCAAAGTGAAATGCAAATATACACACATAAATATTTATATTTATGTATTTAAAGTGTGGTGATTGACCTTGGCAGCTGTTCTGTGTGAGAGCTCTCATCCCAGTGAAGGATTTCAGGCAAGCAGACATGTTAATGGAACACACATCTCTAAAACCTCCCTCGTGCTGTCTACCACTGTAACACTGCACCTCCTGCCACCACTAGCCTGTCCCTTCACTTGCACAAATTTACACATGAATCCAAGGATTTCAGAAGAGTTTGAACTGCTGTGACAGTGTATCCTGTGATACGTGATCAGTGACTTGCAGAAAGGCACCAGCCTGGCAACTGATTCCCACATCCAGCTGCCAAACAACTGCCTTCCCTGGGAGGGACTACAGGAGCAAGTCTTTTGGAATTATCCTTGTTTCAAATTAATCAGAATATATCTACAAGTAACATACATCCACACCCATCATTTACTTGAAGAAGCTGTGAGTTGCTCCCAAAAACTTCACTGCCATTCTGGGGACATTCACTTATGTCCCAGAACAATGAAAAGGACGTTCAAAGAAACGATTTGTTTTCAAGAAGAAAGCAGAGCAGCTCTGTGGCCCTTGTAGAGCAGCAGGTGTTTGCAGTGGCAGCAGATGAACAGAGCAGCACTGCAATGTTATTTCTGCTCTCACAACAGTAGAGGCCTTTGCATGGGGGCTCAAGTGCAGAGGGCAAAAAATGAAGCTCTGGCATCAGAGGTGTGGGAATGAGAAGAGGCTGGAACCTCTGAGCTTGAGCAAAACCACCCTGAGACGGCACAAACACTGCAGATCAAACTGATGCTTGCTTCCTCTCGTCAGCTCCCCACATCCTTCTGGCACAGATTCCTCTCAGCTGCTCATTTTTATTTCAGCTGTCTTCCCTTGTGCTCTTTGTAAAGTGCCCAGTTTCACAGATTTCACCAAAGGTTCATCACCAAAGGTGACTGAAATAACCCCTCTCAGGTTTCAGTAAAACACAGCAGGGCTACACCTCTGCTGATCACGTGTGTGCTCAAGGCATTCAGGGAAATCATTGTTCATTATGAGCCCTATTATTGTACTACACAGCAAAACTAATTAAATAAAGAAAGCTGACATGAAAAAAAATCATTCAAAGCTTGAGTTTGTTTGAGATTGTACCAGCCCGACTTGCATTTCAGGACAGACGGAGCCAGGCAATGATCCAGAGGACACACAAACATTGCACCCATCTGGGAAACTGTGAGGATCAACCAAAATCAAACTCCAGGTTTCAGTAGATGATTCCCATCCACAGAGGTCCTGCGTGCCTGGCACTCTCATGACTGCATCCTTCATCACTCAGACTGCAGGAAAATCATGGGCCAGGGTGCTGTGATGGTCTTGTAAGAACCTGGTGCTGGAAACCAGCAACCCCAAATTACTGATCTTGCTGTGAAGTTTTGCTGGGTGGCCTTGCACAAATTTCTCAGTTTGCTTGGGACACACTTATCCCAGCTGGCTGCATGAGAAAATTGTTGCCATCCACATTAACAGCAGACTGTGGAATACAAAGATTATCTCAAGCTGTAAATGCAATTTGGACAAAACACATACATGGATTGAATACATCAGCCTTGGATGATTATTATTGTCAGGAAGTGTCTGGTCTGCAGGCTTTTTTATTTTAATACGATGTACTCACATTGTAACATGACCCTTGCTGTAAGGACTGCAATTTGTTATAGCTAAAAATGTACACACTTCATAAATAGCTGCAATACAGAGAACTGTAGGATCAAAGAAGCATTTGGAGTGAAAAAGCCCTCCCAGACCATCAAATCCAACCATTCCCCTGGCACTGCCAAGGCCACCACCAACCTCTGAGTGTCACATCCACGTGGCTTTTAAATCGCTCCATATGGGAAAATATAGCTCTCTATAAATAAAAAAATATATTGTAATGTTCTTCATAACATTTCACGTTAAACTTAATTGCAGTTTAGAAATGAAGAATTCCCATACCTGTGGAGTAAATCAATTAAACCTGCTGATGTTACCCAGGGCTAATATTGACTGAAATCTGCTTTCTCAGTTTGAGACAAAAATGTTCAGAGTAAGAGGAAAGCACTGGGTGACACACAGACTTAAAGCAGTGCAACGTTTCTTTCCTGGTAAAACCATGCTTATTCCATTACAACAGATTTATTTTTTTTTTCATTGAAACCTTTGCGTCAAGGTCTGACCTGGGGGCTAGCTGTGCTAGCCCATGGCTACCAACAGGATGACACTCTTTTTTTTGTCTTGGAATTCACACTGCTCCCTAAACCACAGCAGCTGCTGCTGGCCCAACCTACCTACCACAACCTTTCCCACAAGTTCTGTCACTGTTTTTCCTCACTCTCTTTTCCCAATACTTATGTGCCAGAAACAAATCCAGTTCCTATTTTTATGCAGTTTGCTTTCACTAATGAAATCAATAGCTGGTACTCAGGGAATTCAGAACAAATGCAATTGTAACAGTTAAAGTGGATAACCATGTTAAAAGGATGCATTTTGCTGTTACCAAACACTCCAGAACTCTCCTGGCAGCACAGCAACCCTCAGGAAAGTCTGTGCCAAAGTTTGGTCCCCAACTCAAGATGCAAAGTCTGTGTCAAACATGTTTCTCCTAAAATCTTTTGTGTAACAATGGATGAAAAAATCATGCAAACAGGATGATATACAAATGACAGCTCCATGCTCCAAGACTACTTTCACTTTGTGACTTAAAGCATTTATCTTGGACTTGAGTGTTCCCAAACGTACTGCTTCCATTGTTCAACCAATATTTCCCACTGACTTGCAGACCTTCTATTTGCTCAGAAATTCTCATTTCTTTGAAGTCCACTCCAGCAATTCCCAACCTCCATGTTTAACTTTGTATTTCTTCTTGGAAGGTTTCTTTATTAATGAAGGAGAAACCTAGTGCAGGTTAAAGAAGGGTGGGTAATGCTCAGGGGAAGATACTCTGCTGCCTTGTAGGTGGCATAAGAAAGGTGCCATTTGGGAATTCAGTCAGCAGGGAGATAAACACTGTCATCATGAAACATTAAATAAAACATGAAAACCCACAGAGACACTGAAGAGAAAAAGATGCATCATGTTTACAGCCAAATCACACTGATACATTGCACAGCATACTCTTAAAAAGAGCAGATTTATCTATTTGGAGCTGGATCTTGGGCATCTAAACTGGAAACAGGAAGACTTTATTGTTAACTATATTTGCAGAAGGGGGAGAAGGGGAAGAGAGTTTCTCTGAAGATACACACTGTGGTGCCACTCACAACAAACCTCTTTGTTTTTCACTTTGCTCTGCCAAGGACAGCAACAGTTCAGTTTAGAGGAGTACAAAATGCTGCTTTTTGCATGGCACACATCAGTCAGTCTGTGGGTAACAAAGAGCTGGCAGCTTCTCAATCACACTGCCAGCTTCCAACACTACCAGTAAAAAAATAAATCACTATGTCTTGTGGCAGGTGTTAACCCCAGTACTACAACTTACAAGAGAAAGAATAATCTCTCATGCCAATCTTTTTCCCTCTGACAAAAACCAGGAGAGGATAAAAAATTTACAAAACAAAAGAGAAAAGTTTATTAATGCTTAAGACAAGATGTCTTGAATTAAAGGCACTTTTAATAATTTTACCTCTGCCTAAGTAAACTGCATTGCAAAATGGCAGCATGAAAAGAGAGAAACATAAGTTGTTGTATTATTCCACGTTGCTGGAGCTAATGTTCTACCCTTTAAAAGCTTATAAAGCATTTTTGGGCCAAATAGACAATTTTTTTGGTATCATATCCTTACTGACAAGAACTACAAGACATAACATGCAACCCACAAAAAGTCACCAATTAGTGTTTTCAGATCTGAAATACTTCCCTACTTTAATCAAAAGAACAGTTTATCTGCATTTGCTGCTTTATAAATGTCATGCAACTTCTTTATTTCTACTTCAATGAGATCAGAGAAGAGATCTGTGTACTTTTCCCTTAGGATTCTTACAAGCTGGGAAGTAATCAATCAGCCATAAATGAAAACTGGACATTTGTTCAAGTATTGTTCGTTCTAAAATCAGACTTCTCTTTTTGTCTTTGTAGGCAGATTTCATCATAAATTTGCTTCCTAAACTTCAGCATGTCTTCGACATCTTTGTAGGTGAGCATTTCTTCAACAGACAGAAGTTGAAAGCCACTCAGTTTGAAAGCTGACTTGTGCTGCACAGCATTCAGCATGTTCAGTGACATCCTAACCGATTCACTTAGAGTAGAACAAACAGGGAAAATCCTTGCAGTCCACAGCCCCAAAGATGTGTCCCCACTGGAGAAGAGCTGGTCTGAAGCCTCTATGCTCCAGAGGTCAAGGCACTCTGGGAAGCTGGCTCCAAAGAACTGGAGGGAGCGAATATCCGACAGCAATTTCACACTCCTCTTCAAGTTGTCACCTACACCGAACGCCATGGTGACATACTCCACTTGGTCAGCAACTTTCACACTTACTGAACTCAGGAAGCAGTTTGAGGGTATGTCTACACTGAAAT